TTTCTTTTATGCGATTATGAATTTTCTGTTATGAGATTATGAATTTTCATAACATTCATAATCTCATAACAGAAAATTCATAATTTGATCAACGCGCGCCGTTAACTCCACATCCGTGATTTTTTTTTTTGTCTAAAAACGACGTCGTTTGGCCTTGTGTTCACCATTCTCGGTGAACACGTTTCCAGTACATAATTCTTGGGCTTATAGAATCACATGTGCATAAAGAATATATCATATAATCATATAAAAAATGTGTTCAATTAGAGTTTAAATTTACTCCTACAAAATTTGAAATTTACTTTCTAAATGTAATTATCTTAGTTATTATTCGTATTGTGAAAATTATAATATAGATGAAATACAATTAAGAATAAATCAATGTAATTATGTAAATTCTCTTATAAGTTTATTTGAATATGTACATAATTAGAGATTATATTAACCATACAAAATTTTAATTTTAATTTTAATTGTAATTTTGTCTATACAAATAATAAATACTTGACCAATGGAAGCTCAAAAATATTATTATATTAAACAATTTAAAATATTTGTATTTTTTCTATTTTTTAATTTATATTTATAATAACATAATTTTTTCCCGTGCATCGTGCGGTGAATTACTAGTTACCTTATATAACTTGGAGATAAAAAATAAAAAATAAAAAGGATCGGAGTTTTTAATGAACAAGGACATAATATATATTTGTGCTCTGCAAAGAATTATGAAACCAGTTGATGGTGTTTAGGAATCAGTATAAATATGTATATGCTTTAGTGAAACAAAGATGATTTAAATTATTTACATACCACATACATACTACATCTATATGGACTCCTAACGGATAAGTATTCTTCCTGCGATTTACATAATTTACATTGTATATAACATCATGTAATTTGTGTAGTTTTCTTGTCACATAAAAAAACATTAATTATTCAATTATAATAATTATACTAAATTATGATAGGATAGTTATACATTTCTTTTAAATAAAATAAATTTACTTATTACATTTATGATTTATTCTTTTATCCAAATTTTTTTCTTTTTTGTTTTCTATGAAAAACAATAATTGATGAAATATTGATGGGGTGTTTGAAAACTAGATTATAAAACAAAGTAAGTAATCCTAAAAAAAAAAAAAAAAAAAAAAAAAAAAAAAACCAAAGTAAGGATATACGACATCTACTATTAGCCCAAGAGAGTTAGGCCTATAATGGGTAGAAAAAATGGCGGTAACATTAATTAATTAAATGAGTGACTCAGATTGATCAGATTTTAATTTTTCCTTAAAATTTCCTAATTTATCCTTAATGAATATGATTTTCCGTTAACTTTTCCGATAAATATTATCTTTTCCGTTAGTTCACCCTTAACTTACTCATTAATTTCAATAAGAAAGGTCTTAGGTTCGAACCCCATCCCAATCAAAGTTGGCATAATTAGTACTCTATTTTACTCTTATTAAATTAAATATAATAATTTAGTAGTTACAACAAAAAATAATACATATACATTTCTTTAATTTAGAATTTTGTGTCTACAATGTCTTTTTTAAAAAAAAAATTATTCATTATCAATAAATAAGAGAAATAATTTCATTAGTTCTATTGTCTTTATTTTCTCCAATATAAAAATTCTTTACATTCAAATTCATCAATTGATTATATTCGCTACATTATCCCTACAATGTCTTTATTAAAAAAAATATTCATTATCAATAAATTAGTTAAGAGAAAAAATTTTATTAGTTATATTGTCTTTATATTTCTCCAATGTAAAAATTCTCTACATTTAAATTCATCAATTTATATATATATATACTAATAAGAGCCCAAGAGAGTTAGGCCTATAATGGGTACAAAAAATGGCGGTCAAATTTTTTAATCAAATGAATGGCTCAGATTGATCAGATTTTAATTTTTCCTTAAGATTTACTAATTTATCCTTAATGAATATGATTATCCGTTAACTTTTCCGTTAAATATTATATTTTTCGTTACTTTCTGTTAGTTCACCGTTAACTTACTCATTGATTTCAATAAGAAAGGTCTTAGGTTCGAATCTCATCCTAATGAAAGTTGGCATAATTAGTACTCTACTTTAGTCTTATTAAATTATATTAAATAATAATTTAGTAGATACAACAAAAAAATACATATACATTTCTTTAATTTAGAATTATGTGTCTACAATGTCGTTATTCAAAAAAAAAATTATTCATTATCAATAAATTAAATAAGAGAAATAATTTATTAGTTATATTGTCTTTATTTTTCTCCAATATAAAAATTCTTTACATTCAAATTCATCAATTGATTATATTCGCTACATTGTCCATACAATGTCTTTACTAAAAAAAAATAAATTATTCATTATCAATAAATTAATTAAGAGACATAATTTTATTAGTTCTATTGTCTTTATATTTCTCCAAGTAAAAATTATTTACATTCAAATTTCAAATTCATCAATTGATTATATTCACTACATTGCCTATTGTTTTTTAAAGAAAAATATAATTAATAAAGCCAATTATATTAACTACTTGAGTGATTGTTGACAAATAGAGTATTCAAATCACACAACAAATTGAAGTGAGAACTACCTCGCAATGTCCTTATTTGAGAATCAGGAGTTAACAGTTAGCGTTCGGATTATATTAGCGGGTTTGACCAGCGAATTATATCAACGGTTGGTAAAAAGATATTTGAAAAAATAAGTTGTTGTTTAGATTAACATGTAAAATGACCTAAAGCTATACATATATTTAATAATAATAATAATAATAATAATAATAATAATAATAATAATAATAATAATAATAATAATAGTTTAAAAAATATATATATATATAATTAAGCCAATCATATTAACTACTTGAGGGATTTATTGACAAAAAGAGTATTCAAATCACACAACAAATTGAAGTAGGAAACTACCTCGCAATGTCCTTGTTTGGCAATCACCAGTTAACTTTTCAATATTAGTATATATTTAATATTTTATGTCATAATTTTAATTTACTTTCCCTTATGTCCCCGTATTTGGTTTCAACCATACCTATACAATTATTTTATTGACAATTATAATCAATCTTGACTATATTATCTTGCATTTGTAAACTTAGAATTGCCTATTTAAATACGTAAATTTAACATTCAATTATCTATGCACGGAAATTCTAATATAATCTTACCTTGATATACTTTAAAGTACTTATTTAAAAAAAAAAAAATTGGGCATTATCCCAATCGCGCAATGCGCGTAAAAAACTAGTACCAAATACAGAGTAACTTTAAGTCGTTTTTTTTTTTTTTTTTTTTTTTTTTTTTTTTTTTGGGAGTTAATTACTGAAATGATTCCTAGACTATAACGAAATTATCAATTTGGTATGATCTTTGACTATTTTTTATTAATTAATTAAGTCTCTTAGCTTTAAAAATTTTAACTAATTTGGTCATTCGTTTGTTTGACCGTTAGTCAACAATTAATTTGGGATCAAATTGGTAATTTCGCTATAGTCAAGAGACCATTTTGGTAATTAACTTTAAGGTTAGCAATTCGATTTAGTTTTCTCGAACCGAAGCATACCAAACCGAACGAATTAGTTTGGTTCGGTAATATACTGAACAATCGAATGGTATTAGATTCTTGTATATCGAGCGGTTCGATAAAAAATCGATCCGAATTGTTCAGTAAAAAATTGAACTGAACCGAATATCGTTTGAATTTTTTTTAAATAATAATAATAATAATAATAATAATAAATAAATAAATAAATAAATAAATAAAAAGTAAATCCAAGTCCATTGCTGCTTGCTCTGCCGTTCAGCTCATATTCTCATGGGTATCTCTCGTAAATGTTTTATTTGATTTATTTATGATTTGTTATCAAAAGTTCTATATTATGTGTTATGGTGTTTACATAGTCCATATCGAAAGTCTAATATATAACAAAATAGCAATCCAAAATTCTAACGGTATTTGGTTCGGTTCAAGTTTTTACCGAACCGTTCGGTATACAAGAATCTATTACCGTTCGGTTGTTTGGTATATTACCGAATCTAACTAGTTTGGTACGGTTCGGTTCGAGAAAACTGAACCGAATTGCCCGCCCTTTAAGTTAATTACCAAAATGGTCCATTGACTATAACGAATTACCAATTTGGTCCAAAATTAACAGTTGACTAACGGTCAAACAAACGAAAGACCAAATTGGTTAAGATTTAAAATTAAGAGACTTAATTGGTAAAAAATAGTCAAGGACCAAATTGCTAATTTCGCATAGTGAAGGGACCATTTCGTTAATTAATTTTTTTTTTTTTTTTTTTTTTTAAAAGGGCGTTTGGTTCAGGTTATATTATATAACCAAGGGAATGTGACATTCCCGAGCTTACATTCCTATGTTTGGTTCATTTTCTCTGAGGGAATATAACATTCCCAGGGAATGTAACATTCCCTCCACATAGGATTTTGAAGGGAATGTGATTCCCTTCATTTTGTTAGGTAATGTAAGATAACCTTGCATATTTATGAATTTTGTCATTTTAATTCTAATTATTTAAAGATATATATTTTATGTTAGCTTATTATTATTATTAATATGATACCGTTATCTTATTTATTTAATTTAATGATTAAATTTATTAAAATATATGAAAATATGTTAAGGATATTAGATATATATATATATATATATATATATATATATATATATATATATAAAGATAACCCTAAACCAAACATGATAATATTACATACCTCAATTTTAACCAAACACGGGAATCTAACATTCCCAGTAATCTAACATTCCTAGCAATCTAACATTCCCTAAGGTAATCTAACATTCCGTGAACCAAACGGCCCCTAAGTCGGTGGAGTATGCTGCATGCCCCCAACGTACATTTTGGCCGTATTTTTTTTTTTTTTTGAAAACCCCAACGTACACTTGTTAACTCTTTTATATAGATACCTCCCCCGATCACAATTTCATCATCCTCCTTGCCTCCTTGGTTTCTTCAATGCAATCGTATATCAAGAGAAGCAAGACAAGACGCAGAAATGGAGCCCTACAAGATCCCGCCGGGAAGGCGCTGTGCACAACCTCATCTTCCACCAACACCGCCGATGATGCTACTGCGAAAGACTGCTGCGATCTCCCCGCTTTCGCCGACCCGTCAATGCGTACGTGTTATTTGGGTTTTAAATTTTACAACCGCCACGATTGTCGAAATTTGGTTGTCTCTAAAACCCTAGATTTCCTTAATGAATTTGAGCTTGATGTGTTTACCCTATAGGGTATAGGGTATAGGGTATAGGGTATAGGGTTTAGGGTTTAGGGTTTAGGGTTGAAAACCATTTGCAAATGTGTATTTTCTTACATTTCTGCCTGGGCACCTTTCCTGATTTTTAAATGTATTGGATGGATGCTTCTTTCAGTGTCAGAAGTGCTGTGCTGCCTCATATCCTTCCCAAGCTTGTCCACCTTCCTCATTCATAAGTATTGTGTCTGTTTCTTATAGCTTTTTGTATAGTAGTATTTCTTTATTATTCACGATGATCTTTGGTTTTATATCCAGTGCCTTCAATGCACGTGCTTTGGAGCTTTAGCAGAGGTTGCTGGACCTGGTCTTGATGTCCCCCTTGGTACCATCCTTCCTGCTTTACTCACTGCAATGGGCTATACTGATATGCCGCAATGCTATTTACTTGGTTTTCTCTTTCACATCATTTAAATTTGAGTCATTGCTTAAGTTGATTTGTGTTTTTCTTTTTTCATTGCATAATTTGCACGTGTCATGCTTTCACTATGAAATATAGGAGGTTCAAAGTCTCGCCAAGAAAGCAGCAGAAACTGTTGTCACTGTAATTGACGAGGAAGGTATCGAGTCTTTGCTGTAGGGGCTTCTTAAAGGAGTTGGAGATATTCAGGCATGGTTTATTGTTTTGCATAATGATAATGTGGCTTTCTTTTCTTTGTATTCCATTTTTTTGCTAACACTATTTAATTTTTCTTCCAGGCTTCAATCAGACAAAGTTCTGCATACTTAACTGGATATTTATTCAAAACCAGTGATCTATATCTTGTTGATGGGGCTCTAAACCCTGATTATTTTACTAAGTGATTCAGATTCAGTCACCGTGACGGTATTATTTTGATTCATTGCATGACATTTATACAATGCACTTCAATGTACTAGTTTATCTTTCCGTGCTCTTTTACAGGTTGCTTGGGAAGCATTGTCTAGTGTGATAAGTTCAGCTCCTAAAGAAGTTCTTCCTTCGTATATAAAGTTGGTTCGTGATGTATACAAATATAGAGGACCAGTTCTAATACCTGGTTTTTGCCTCCGGAAAGCTCTTCAACCTGTGCTTCCTATTTTCCTCTAGGTATTCCTGCTTATCTTTTGTTTATGAACTTAAAAAAGTTTACATTGAAAAAATCTCGTCAGTTTCTAATATTTAATAATTATAGTGCAGAAATCCTTCCGAGAATTATTATATGTAAGAAACTAAGTATAATCTATTAATCATACATCAAGATTGTTTCTATTATTGCTGTTGTCGTTTTTGGAATCAGTTTCGCATTGTTACAAGCATTGGTAACAAGTATTAGGATTGCAAGATTGTTGAGCTTTGATTGCATGGTTATGTGAATTTCCTTTATTATCTGTAGGGTCTTATAAGTGGATCTGCTGAATTAAGAGAGCAAGCAGCTTTGGGCCTTGGAGAGTTAATTGAAGTGACAAGTGAGCAAGCATTAAAGGAGTTTGTCATTCCAATCACAGGGTATGAGCTGTTACTATAGTTCTACACATTGCTAGTTTTGACTATGAGACTATTAAGAGGATTGCAACCAACAAAATGCTATACGTAATCATTACGTTGCCTATTTATGTATGCAGTGAACTATGCCCTTTATTAGTGTGTCAACTATCAAACAGTCCTCTACTTGTCTGAACCTTTGGGTCACCAGTGTAAGGCCATTCTAGATTGCTTGGGCAAGTTCAAAGTGCAATTCTCTCAACTTTGAGCATCATAATATGGAAGGGTGGGTTGGCCCTAAATCCTTTTCTTCCCCAGCTTCAAACAACATTTGTTAAGTGTTTGCAGGATATTACATGGTTAGATTTTAATACTTATGGTTTTTCAGTTCTTTTGGAGACTCGTTTATTCTGTTATGTTCAGTACTACGATGCATGTATATTCCTAGCCCATGCTATGCAAGTTGTTTGCAGGACTGTTCGATCAAGTGCTGCTCTTGCCCTTGGTAAACTAAGTGCACTCACAACTAGGATTGATCCTTTGGTTGGTGATCTTCTATCTGCTTTACAGGTGAAGTACTTCATCTTATGTTTGTTTTCCCCCCCCTCTTTCTTTGGTTTTAACCTTCAAAATCTAATGTTGTGGTGATATGGGCAGCAGTTTTGGAATTCGTGAGGCTATTTTGACTGCTTTGAAAGGAGTGATCAAACATGCTGCCAAAAGTGTGAGCGGTGCTTCTAGAACACTTTTAGTAACATAGTTTCTCTCTATCATTCAAAAAAAAAAACTCTGTTTGTGGCCTTCTTTTCCTGTGAAATAGCTTCTAAATTTTTTTCTTATCGACAGATTGCTGATGCTCTTTATTATAACCCTTCATTTACGCCGAGCATACTGCAAACGCTTGGTGTTGCTACAGAGATCTTCAATCTTTGGTTCCATATGCTACAACAAACCAAAAAAAGTGGAGCTCGGGCTAATTCTAAAAATGTAGCAATATGTTGGTCTTGTAGTTCTTGTGGAGAGATTTAAAAGGCATAAGAAAAACAAAGCTAAGAAAAGTGATTGGTTTCTAATTCTTGGCATGTTGGTATTGCAGGGAGCATGAGAAGAAGGTTTGCTGCTTGGGCTTGACATCATTGCTTGGGATCAAATGCCAGCAGCAGCCTTAGAGGGCATTTTTAAGGCCATTCTTGACCTCCCTGTAAGCACAAGGAGCAACTTTCTGGTAAGTAACCATTTTTTTTCTTTTCTATGTTTTTCCCATACTGGTTTTTCTATTTGTTTTCATTTGCACTTTAGATGGTATATTCTGATTATTCTCTTAATGTTTGATATCATTTTCTACCTTCTATATCTTCAGAAGCTGCAAAGGCAGAGGAAGCTGAAGATGAGGTTGAGATGGATGGATTTCGAAGTGATGATGACGACGATGAGTCTGATAGAGAAATGGCAGATGATGACGAGGATGGAGATGAAGCTGACAGCCTAAAGCTCCAAAAGTTGGCAGCAAAGGTAACAGAATTAAGAGACATTGTATCATACCCATCTAAGCATCTTGTTCCTGCTTGTTTTCTGTTCATTTCCTTTGTGAAATTAACATCCATCTCTATATGCTGAAACTTTGTGGTTTTCAGGCGAGTGCTTTCCGCTCCAATGATGCTCCAATGATGACGTGGATGAGTCATCTGATGATGATTTTTGTGATGATGAAGAGATGCAATCAGCCATTGATGAGGCGGATCCTTTTGTTTTCTTTGTTGATTCTGTCAAAGGTATCCCTGCCTATTTCATCCTTTTGGGTTATTTAGTTTTTGCTATACTGTGTGATAAAATGTTTTGACCTTGTCCTTTGCTGAAAAACTAAAACCACAGCAGGTTTCCTTTTATTTGGTTCAAGTACTACTAATAGGTATATGATTTCAAGTGTGCTCTTTAGTTTAAAAAGAATTTTCAAGTGTGCTCTTTAGTTTAAAAATGATTTTCAAGTGTACTCTTTAGTTTAAAAATCATTTTGAAATGTGCTCTAGTTTTAAAATAATTTTCAAGTGTGCTCTTTAGTTTAAAAATGATTGTATATCCGTGATGCTGGTTTTTGTGATGACAATATTTGTGCTGGTTGGATCGTCAGACAAAGGATATCATTGGCTTTACATTCATTCTGTGGCTGATGTGCTTGGAACCAAAGATCTTCCTGTTGTTATGACTATCCTAATATCACGAACGCTGGTAATATTTTATTTTGTTGTTATATACAAGGTTTACATGTTTGCTATGGAGTTGGCATCTTAATGTGCTCCTTCCTGTTGAACGGGCTATGTATTATAATTACATGCTTTAAGCTTGTTCTTTATGCTTACCGCTCTCTCTCTCTCTCTCTCTCTCTCTCTTTGAAATACTATGAGAAATCTGGTTGATTCATTTAAGTTTATAGGTGTCAATATTCTTTTTTAGGCTTACTTCATTTATTTTTTGCCCTAAAAAGAATCTCTTCATTTGTATACCAAATTTTCTAATATTTAATAATTATAGCAGAGAAATTCTTCCAAGAATTATTATATGTAAGGAACTAAGTATAATTTATTAATTATACATAAAGATTGTTTTTATTATTGCTGTTGTCGTTTTTGGAATCTGTTTCGCATTATTACAAGCATTGGTAACAAGTATTAAGAGTGCAAGATTGTTGAGCTCTGATTGCATGGTTATGTGAATTTCCTTTATTATCTGCAGGGTCTTATAATTGGATCTGCTGAATTAAGAGAGAAAGCAGGTTTGGGCTGTGGAGGGTTAATTGAAGTGACAAGTGAGCAAGCATTAAAGGAGTTTTTCATTCCAATCACAGGGTATGATCCGTTACTATAGTTCTACAGATTGCTAGTTTTGACCAGAGACTATTAAAAGGATTGCAACCAACAAAATAAGCTATACGTAGACATTACGTTGCCTATTTATAGTATGCAGTGAACTATGCCCTTTATTAGTGCATCAACTATAAAACAGTCCTCTAATTGTCTGAACTTTTGGCTAACCAGTGTAAGGCCATTCTACATTGCTTGTTCATGAATTGTTATTCATATAATAGGGGACAGGTTCCCATGGCAAGTTAAAAGTGCAATTCTCGCAACTTTGAGCATCATAATACGGAAGGGTGGGTTGGCCCTAAAGCCTTTTCTTCCCCAGCTTCAAACAACATTTGATAAGTGTTTGCAGGATAATACAAGGTTAGCTTTTAATTCTTATGGTTTTTGGGTTCTTTTTTAGACTCGTTTATTTTGTTAGGTTCGGTACTACGATGTATATTCCTAGCTCATGCTATGCAAGTTGCTTGCAGGACTGTTCGATCAAGTGCTGCTCTTGCCCTTGGTAAACATAGTGCACTCACATCTAGGATTGATCCTTTGGTGTTGGTGATCTTTTATCTGCTTTACAGGTGGCATACTTCATCTTATGTTTTTTTTTCTTCTCTTTTCTTTGGTTTTAACCTTCAAAATCTAATATTGTGGTCATATGGGCAGCAGTATTCAGATGTTGGAATTCGTGATGCTATTTTGACTGCTTTGAAAGGAGTGATTAAACATGCTGGCAAAAGTGTGAGCAGTGCTTCTAGAACACTTCTAGTAACATAGTTTCTCTTATTAAAAATAAAAATACTAGGTGGTTGTATTTTTTTTTTTTTTAAAAGTAGGAAGGAAATACTTCAAAATAATATACTGTTCCAGACGGCGGGCAAAACAGAAAAGCTTCTCTTTTTCGCTAAATGCCAGACTGAATCAACCCAGTCTTGTGTCTTGGATCCAGTGGTTCTATCAAAATGGTAATTTCAAGCATTGCCATTTGGGTGTTCTCTCGATTCATTTTTCTGGCGAATTGGTTGATGGTTTGGTTTGGGCTTGAAATGGGCAGATTTGATTCATTCTGCTTAAAAACTGGCAAGGATAGACTCATTTGGCCAAGTATTTCACCCCCCTCAAGGAATCCGAGAAGCACAAAGTCGAAAACATGTTCTTGCTATGATATCTCGATACATTTGTGTCATTAAGGCTGAGTTTTAACATTCGATCTGGTTCTGGATGTTCATCGGTTGATCGTGAATAGAGACCCCAAATTCACCAACATTGTGGAGCTGGGAGTGTTATAACTTTTTTTTTTTTCAGAAATCGTTCTATTGCCTCATATAAAACTTTTCATGCAATGATAAGATCTGTGCTGTGTGTTCTATTCCTTTCATAGTTAAGAGGCCATTGATTCCTTAAACTGTACTGCCAAAGATGCTCTGATTGAATACCGACTCTGTTGATTGTGGTGAAGAGCGGAATGTGAAGGAAATAGTTAATTGTTTCTCACCTGTTAGTTCTCTTCCACAGTTCTACTAACTAATCCAAGAAGGAGATGAGATAAAACATACTGTTAATCCCCGAGGGTGTCGTTTTGAAGACACTTCTACAGAGTTTGAGAGTGAATTCTTTGGTCCTGCGGGATTGTAATGGCTTGTAGTTGATGCTTTCCTTGTCAGTTCCTAGAACCCAAGATAATCTATTAATCTACAGGCGGTATGCTGGGCTATTTTTCTCGCTCTGTGTTGATATGACGGACAACGAGTTGGCTTATTTGGAGTGCATCCACTTGTTTGTGGAGATACTGGATCACTTCTTTAGTAATGTCTGCGAGTTAGATTTGGTTTTTTACTTTCGCAAGGTATGGTTTGTCAGTCTTTCTCATTGTGAATCTCTGTATTTTCTTTTGCTTCTAGTGCATTTACCTTGTGTATGCTGCATTGTTTTCCTATGAAGGTATATCTAATCTTAGATGAATTCGTTCTCACTGGGGAGCTCCATGAAACAAGTAAGAAGGTGAGAGTAATCGCATGAAGAAGGATTTTTCTCGCGCCTTATCCTTCTTCTGGTGAAATGTATTTTGCATTGATTTTGCAGAAAAAATGGATGTTTGATTTCTTCTGGTACTGCAGGCTATCATAGAGAGGTTGAATGAATTGGAGAAGTTGGAGTAAAGATTGATGATCCATGATGGCCAACCTTCATCCATGTTCCAAAGTATGCACCTTTTTCATTTGCTCCCCTTTGATCTTTCTAAACATTTAGGATTATGCCTGCTTCTGTTTGAGACTTTGAATCTCTAGAATTTCTTTCGATTTTATGAGTGTTCATGTCATAGGATTGAAGAAGACATTGTGATTGCTGGGGTCATTTCCTCCCCCTATTCATGATTCTGTTTGCTTCTGAACTTTAGATAGAGAGTGCTTTCATGTGAGAGTGCTTTATATCCAATGCCTTCAATGCACATGCTTTGGGATCTTTTGCAGAGGTTGCTGGACCTGGTCTTGATGCCCCATTGGTACCATCCTTCCTGCTTTACTCACTGCAATGGGCTATACTGATATGGTAGGAACCTAATTTTTATGCCATAATGCCATTACTTGGTTTCGTCTTTCACATCATTTAAATTTGAGTCATTGCTTAAGTTGAATTGTGTTTTTTTTTTCATTGCATAATTTGCATGTGTCATGCTTTCACCTTGAAAATATTGGAGGTTCAAAGTCTCGCCAAGAAAGCAGCAGAAACTGTTGTCACCGTAATTGACGAGGAAGGTATCAAGTCTTTGCTTTCGGGGCTTCTCAAAGGAGATGGAGATATTCGGGCATGATTTATTGTTTTGAATAATGATAATGTGACTTTCTTTTCTTTGTTTTGCATTTTTTAGCTAACACTATTTAAGTTTTATTCTTCCAGGCTTCAGTCAGACAAAGTTCTGCATACTTTATTGGATATTTATTCAAAACCAGTGATCTATATCTTGTTGTTGAGGCTCCAAATGTGATATCCACCCTGATTATTTTACTAAGTGAATCAGATTAATCTACCGTGACAGTTATTTTGATTCATTGTATGATACAATGCATTTCAATGTACTAGTTTATCTTCCCATGCTCTTTTACAGGTTGCTTTGGAAGCATTTTCTAGTGTGATAAATTCAGTTCCTGAAGAAGTTCTTCCTTCATATATAGAGTTGGTTCGTGATGTATAGAAACATGCAGGGAGGACCAGTTCTAATTCCTGGTTTTTCCCTCTGGAAAGCTCTTCAACCTGTGCTTCCTATTTTCCTCCAGGTATTCTTGCTTATCTTTTGTTTGTGAACTTAATGTTTACATTGAAAGAATCTCTTAATATTTAATGGTTTTATAATAATTAAGAAAGCAAGCAGCTTTGGGCCTTGGAGAGTAAATTGAAGTGACAAGTGAGCAAGCATTAAAGGAGTTTGTCATTCCAATCACAGGGTATGAGCTGTTACTATAGTTCTACACATTGCAAGTTCTGACTATGAGACTATTAAAAGGATTGCAACCAACAACATAAGCTATACGTAGTCATTACGTTTCCTATTTATGGTATGTAGTGAACTATTCTCTTTATTAGTGTGTCAACTATCAAACAGTCCTCTACTTGTCTGAACCTTTGGGTCACCAGTGTAACGCCATTCTAGATTGCTTGTTCATGAATTGTTATTTGGTGTACGCCATTGATTCGTATAAATAGGGGACAGATTCCCATGGCAAGTTAAAAGTTCAATTCTCTCAACTTTGAGCATCATAATATGGATGGGTGGGTTGGCCATAAAGCCTTTTCTTCCCCAACTTCAAACAACATTTGTTAAGTGTTAGCAGGATATTACAGTTCTTTTTGAGACTCGTTTATTCTGTTATGTTCGGTACTACGATGTATGTATATTCCTAGCTAATGTTATGTATGTTGTTTGCAGGACTGTTCGATCAAGTGCTGCTATTGCCCTTGGTAAACTAAGTGCACTCACAAATAGGATTGATCCTTTGGTTGGTGATCTTTTATCTGCTTTACAGGTGACATACTTCATCTTATGTTTTTTTTTTTCTTCTATTTTCTTTGGTTTTAACCTTCAAAGTCCTATATTGTGGTGATATGGGCAGCAGGCTTCAGATTTTGGAATTCGTGAGGCTATTTTGATTGCTTTCAAAGGAGTGATAAAACATGCTGGCTAAAGTGTGAGCAGTGCTTCTAGAACACGTGTAGTAACATAGTTTCTCTCTATCATTCTAAATTTGTTTCTTATAGACAGATTGCTGATGTTCTTTACTATAACCCTTCATTTACGCTGAGCATACTGCTTGGTGTTGCTACAGAGATCTTCAATCTTTGGTTCCATATGCTACAACAAACTAAAAAAAGTGAAGCTCGGGCTAATTCTAAAAGGTAGCAATATGTTGGTCTTGTAGTTCTTGTGGAGAGATGTAAAAGGCATAAGAAAAACAAAGCTAAGGAAAGTGATGGGTTTCTAATTCTTACCATGTTGGTATTGCAGGGAGCATGAGAAGAAGGTTTGCTGCTTGGGCTTGACATCATTGCTCAGTCTTCCTGCTGATCAAATGCAAGCAGCACAACCTTAGAGGGCATTTTTATGGCCATTCTTGACCTCCTTGTATGCACAACGAGCAACTTGCTGGTAAGTAACTATTTTAATTTTTTTTTTCCTATGTTCTTCCCATACTGGTTTTTCTATTTGTTTCATTTGCACTTTAGATGGTATATTCTCTTAATGTTTGATATCATTTTCTACCTTCTCAATCTTCAGAAGCTGCAAAGGCAGAGGAAGCTAAATATGAAGTTGAGATGGATGGATTTCAAAGTGATGATGACGACGATGAGTCTGATATAGAAATGGCAGATGATGATGAGGATGGAGATGAAGCTATGATCCGAGGATAAGCAGAAAGGTTAGTATGCATTTTTATGTCTTGCATTTCATTTGTGGACATTAATTTCTGAATCTAATACATGGTGAAAATCTCCATTTCAGATTTATGTTCGAGAACGAGCAGCCCCATTTATTTCAATGGCAGAAATGATGAGGATGTTTGAATCTAGTACAAGTCAGATGTCAATGCCACACGTGAATTGTTCCATGTCACATGTAAATACAAATAACTTGCTTAAAAGTTTTATTGTTTTTCTAGTACGTTTTCTTTACTAAAGTCTCTTGTTTTCTTTGCAGTGGCTATGTCGACCAACGGCTATTGAAAATATCAGTTGCATCCTTGCTGGAGGCTTCGTCTCTTCTCTCTATGGATCTTGGTATTCACTGATTTAGTTTTGAGAGTTTACGGAAGGGTGGGTTGGCCCTACCTTTTCTTCCCCAGCTTCAAACAACATTTGATAAGTGTTTGCAGGATAATACAAGGTTAGCTTTTAATTCTTATGGTTTTTGGGTTCTTTTTTAGACTCATTTATTTTGTTAGGTTCGGTACTACGATGTATATTCCTAGCTCATGCTATGCAAGTTGCTTGCAGGACTGTTCGATCAAGTGCTGCTCTTGCCCTTGGTAAACATAGTGCACTCACATCTAGGATTGATCCTTTGGTGTTGGTGATCTTTTATCTGCTTTGCCACTTTACAGGTGGCATACTTCATCTTATGTTTTTTTTTCTTCTCTTTTCTTTGGTTTTAACCTTCAAAATCTAATATTGTGGTCATATGGGCAGCAGTATTCAGATGTTGGAATTCGTGATGCTATTTTGACTGCTTTGAAAGGAGTGATTAAACATGCTGGCAAAAGTGTGAGCAGTGCTTCTAGAACACTTCTAGTAACTTAGTTTCTCTCATTAAAAATAAAAATACTAGGTGGTTGTATTTTTTTTTAAAAAGTAGGAAGGAAATACTTCAAAATAATATACTGTTCCAGACGGCGGGCAAAACAGAAAAGCTTCTCTTTTTCGCTAAATGCCAGACTGAATCAACCCAGTCTTGTGTCTTGGATCCAGTGGTTCTATCAAAATGGTAATTTCAAGCATTGCCATTTGGGTGTTCTCTCGATTCATTTTTCTGGCGAATTGGTTGATGGTTTGGTTTGGGCTTGAAATGGGCAGATTTGATTCATTCTGCTTAAAAACTGGCAAGGATAGACTCATTTGGCCAAGTATTACACCCCCCTCATGGAATCCGAGAAGCACAAAGTCGAAAACATGTTCTTGCTATGATATCTCGATACATTTGTGTCATTAATGCTGAATTTTAACATTGGATCTGGTTCTGGAGGTTCATCGTTTGGTCTTGAATCGAGACCCCAAATTCACCAACTTTGTGGAGCTGAGAGTGTTAGAACTTTTTTTTTTGCACAAATCGTTCTATTGCCTCATATAAAACTTTTCATGCAATGATAAGATCTGTGCTCTGTTGATTGTGGTGAAGAGCGGAATGTGAAGGAAATAGTTAATTGTTTCTCACCTGCTAGTTCTCTTCCACAGTTCTACTAACTAATCCAAGAAGGAGATGGTAAACCATACTGTTAATCCCCGAGGGTGTCGTTTTGAAGACACTTTTATAGAGTATGATAGTGAATTCTTTGGTCCTGCGGGATTGTAATGGCTTGTAGTTGATGTTTTCCTTGTCAGTTCCGAGCACAGAAGATAATATATTAATCTACAGGCTATATGCTGGGCTATTTTTCTTGATCTGTGTTGATATGACGGACAACGAGTTGGCTTTGGAGTGCATCCACTTGTTTGTGGAGATACTGGATCACTTCTTTGGTAATGTCTGCAAGTTATATTTGGTCTGCAAGTTAGATTTGGTTTTTAACTATCACAAGGTATGGTTTGTCAGTCTTTCTCATTGTGAATCTCTGTATTTTCTTTTACTTCTAGTGTATTTACCTTGTGTATGCTGCATTGTTTTCCTATGAAGGTATATCTAATCTTAGATGAATTCGTTCTCACTGGGGAGCTATAAGAAACAAGTTAGAAGGTGAGAGTAATCGCAAGAAGAAGGATTTTTCTCGCGCCTTATCCTTGTTATGGTGAAGTGTACTTTGCATAGATTATGCAGAAAAAATGAATGTTTGATTTCTTCTGAAACTGCAGGCTATCATGGAGAAGTTGGAGTGAAGATTGATGATCCAGGATGGCCAACCTTCATCCATATTCCAAAGTATGCACCATTTCCATTTGCCCCCCCTTTGATCTTTCTGAACATTTAGGATTATGCCTCAAAAACATGAAACATGAAACATTTGTCTCGTCAAAGATTATCTTGAAACGCTTACTAAATTCACAACGTATTGAAGTTATTTTGTATGATACGAAGCATCATATGTATTGAAGGAAGCAATTTTGTTTGTGCCTTTCCTGTATGAAAAATTTATTACTGCTTTCCTGAATGCAAGCAATTGATGAGATTGTTCCGACACTTCTGCATGCTCTGGAGGACGATCAAACCCTGATACTGCTCTGGATGGTTTAAAACAGATTTTAAGGTTGAAAACCATTTGCAAATGTGTATTTTCTTACATTTCTGCCTGGGCACCTTTTCTGATTTTTTTTAATGTATTGGATGCTTCTTTCAGTGTCAGGACCAGTGCTGTGGTGCCTCATATCCTTCCCCAAGCTTGTTCACCTTCCCCTTTCGTAAGTATTGTGTCTGCTTATTATAGCTTTTTGTATAGAGTAGTATTTCTTTATTATTCACAATGATCTTTGGTTTTATATCCAGTGCCTTCTATGCACATACACATGTCAGTGGAGCACAAGAATCATCTTGGTTGCCATAATATGCATTTTTCACTTTTCAGGTCTATATAGAGAGAACTCAGAGAAAACCTGAAATTGATGGGACAAAAACATAGAAGATAGTGACATCGAGTCTGCACCTAAGCTCATCGAAGTTCCATTCCTGAACTGCAAAGGACAGGTCGATCACTGGGTTGAGCCATATCTCAGAATCTCAATTGAATGTCTGCATTGAAGTAAAACACCATACTTGAAGTGCCTCCTGATCCAAGTGGTATGATACTTAAATATTTCTCTGTTTATACATATTCAGATGTCAATGCCACACATGAATTGTTCCATGTCACATGTAAATACAAATAACTTGCTTAAAGGTTTTATTGTTTTTTCTAGTACGTTTTCTTTAAAAATTTGAACTATTTTTCAGGATGGTATGGCTGGATCAGTGCAGAGGAAGCCTAAGCTTACACTGACAAGGCCTAAGGATCCTGAACTTGAAACATTTCAACGTTTCTGTCCAATAAAGCTTATGAGCTCAGCTCATAATCTACTACTCTAACTCTATTTTTCTTTTCCTTTTCGTTCTAATATTTATCAATTTCTTTCCTTTTATTCTATCCCCCCTTTTCTCATCTTAATTTTCTTCTTCTCTTTCCCATCTTCCTTATTTGTTTCTCTCTCTCTTTTCTTCTTTTTCCTTCGTGTTCTCCATCCTTTCTCACTCACCGACTCTAATTCCCATCCCTTCTCGATTTTTCTTTGTTGACCTTCTCTCTCTCTGTCTTAAGAAGTGACTCCCGACGGGGCAGCAATTTGGTATGTTTTGCTCCATCTGCATAGTATTCTACTGTTGTTTTGGGCGTTATGATTCTTATTACATTTCGCTAACTTCTCAGGGATCTTGTGACAAGCAGTCAGCTGTTCATGGTTCTGTTTCTGTTGTAATATCAGTTCTCAAGGGTCCTGTAAGAAGCTGTCCTCACTTCAAGGTTTGCTCCACTCTGTGAATATCAACTTTGTTTATACAATTTGGTTTGTCTCAATTAAGTTTCACTGGCAAAGCCAACGTAGTTTCACTGATTGCTGAGATGATTTAACGGGAGCAAAAATAACTTCTCAGAAAACAGCCCAACAGAGTGATGCTAAAAAGCACCAGACGGCTCAAAAAAATTACAAGTATGATCAGGAACCCCTATGCATTAAAGTCAGCAACCCAATCACAAGTGAAATGCATTAATTCAGCTAGTGCAGGAAGGTAGATATCTTTCTTTTACTTCCTTTATTTGTCTTGGTGAGGTGGAATCTGTGTAATATTTTCTTATCAATTATTGATTCACTTTTAATAGGAACGCAAAAATTAAAATTACATATGAAACTCCAAATTTTGCTCAAGAAAATCAAGCTATGAAGAGGGAAAAACTTGACGAGGGGAAAGCTAGAAAGGTGGGTCGTTTATTGACTATAAACTTTTACCTTATTAAGTGTATCATTTTTCACATATTTTTAATGTGATCTCCTGAATTTGTTCTCACTTTTGCTTAGAACCTTAGCATCAAACCCCAAACTTTGCTCCATACAACAAGACCTGGGAAATCTACCAGCACCTTGAACACTTGCACTACTAAAACACGTACAGAGGACAGAAAGGTTAGTATGCATTTTTATACCTTGCATTTCATTTGTGGATATTAATTTTGTGAATCTAATACATGGTGAAAATCTCTATTTCAGATTTATATTCGTGAACCAGCACCCCCATTTATTTCAATTTGCTGAAATGATGAAGAAGTTCGAATCTAGTGCAAGGGAAATGTCAATGCCATGCATGAATTATTCCATGTCACATGTAAGTTGCTTAAAAGTTTTAATATTTTTCTAGTACGTTTTCTTTCTTATGTTTAATTTTGATCTTTTTTTTTTTTTTTCCCTCACTCTGTGTGCTTGTATATAATATGTTATGGAGATTTTCTCTATTAAAGTCTCTTGGTTTCTTTGTAGCGGCTATGTCGACCAACGGCTACTGAAAATATCAGTTGCAACCTTGGTGGTGGCTTCGTCTCTTCTCTCTATGGATCTGGTATTCACTGATTTAGTGTTGAGAGTGTGCATTTTCTTTCTTGTGTGTAATTTTAATCTTTTTTTTTTTGTTTTTGTTTTGTTTTGTTATGTTTTTCTTTTTGTTTTTTGTTTTTTTTTTTTGTTTTTTGTTTTTTTGTTTTTTGTTTTTTGTTTTTTTCTCTCACTCTGTGTGCTTGTATATAATATGTTATTTAGTTTTTCTCTACTAAAGTCTCCTGTTTTCTTTGTAGCGGCTATGTCGACCAACGACTACTGAAAATATCAGTTGCAACATTGGTGGTGGCTTAGTCTCTTCTCCATATGGACCTGGTATTCACTGGTTGAGATTTGAGAGTGTGCCTTTTCTTTTTTATGTTTAATTTTTTTTTTCCCCGTGTGCCTTATCAGCTTTTTGTTGTCCCTTATGTTCTTTTATGCTTTGAAATAAATCTTGAATGCATGTATATATAGGATTTCACAGTTGGTCTGATTCTCAGTTCAATAATATGGGCACCAATGCACTGGAATTTGTATAATGAGCCTTAACTGTTGCGCCATGTTGTTGATAGGAAGAAGTGACTCCTGACGGGGAAGCCAATTTGGTATGTTTTGATCCATCTGCATAGTATTCTACTGTTGTTTTTGGGGGTTATGATTCTTATTACATTTCGATAACTTCTCAGGGATCCTGTAAGAAACTGTCCTCACTCCAAGGTTTGCTCTACCCTGTGAATATCAACTTCGTTTATACTTTTGGTTTGCCTCAATTAAGTTTCACTGACAAAGCCAACGTAGTTTCACTGACTGCTGAGATTATTGAACTGGAGCATGCACCCCTCAGCAACCAAAAATAACTTCTTAGAAAACAGCCCAACGAACTGAAGCTAATTGCTAAGAAGCACCAGACAGCTAAACAATAGCATGTATGATCTCAAACCCCTCTGCATTGAAGTCAAAATCTGAATCACAAGTCTCAAGCATTAATCCAGCTAGTGGAAGAAGGTCGATATCTCTCTTTTAGTTTCCATATTTGTCTAGTTTTGTTCTATATCTCTTTATTTGTTGTGCTGGAATCTGTGTAATATGTTTCTTATCAATTATTGATTCACAGGAACACATGAAAATTACATCTGAAACTCCAAATTTTGCTCAATAAAATCAAGCTATAAGGAGGCAAAAACTTGAAGAGGGGAAAGCTAGACAGGTGAGTAATTTATTGACTAAAATTTTTTACCTTATTAAGTGTATCATTTTTCACAAATTTTTAATATGATCTCCTAAATTTGTTCTCTGTCTTGCTTATATCCTTAGCGTCATACCCCAAACTTTGCTCCATAAAACAAGACCTGGGAAATTTACAGGCAACTTGTTAACTTCAACTGCTGAAACACGTACATAGGACAGAAACTTTAGTATGAATTTTAATGTCTTGCATTTCAAATATGGACATTAATTTCTGAATCTAATACGTGGTGAAAATTTCTATTTCAGATTTGTGTTCGAGAACCAGCAGCCCCATTTATTTCAATGACAGAAATGATGAAGAAGTTCGAATCTAATACAAATAACTTGCTTAAAAGTTCTATTATTTTTCTAGTACATTTTCTTTAAAAATTTAAACTAATATTCAGGATGGTATGTCTGGAATCTGTGCAAAAGAATCCTAAGCTTACACTGACAAGGCCCAAGGATCCTGAACTTGAAACAGCTCAACGTTACAGTCCAGTAAAACTTAAGAGCTCAGCTGAGTTGGAAGAAGAAATGATGGCAAAATTCCCCAAGTTTAAGGCTCGCCCTCTAAATAAGAAGGTACCTCCATTTTGAATGACCGCATTATTTTCCTGAGTGTATACATCTTGCCTTAGTTTAAGAGACTGCTTTAGTATTCCTGTGCTTTTTCTTTATTCCATGTTTTAATTTCATTTTTATTATTTTTTTCTGCTTTTTATCCCTTATCTAACTTCCCTTCTCATTTGTGCGTGTTTATCTTTCTCTTTTTTTTTTTTTCCTTTTCCTTCATTGTCTGTTTTATTCGTTGTCTTCTACTTCAAAATTTTCATTCTTCCTCTTCTCGCCTTTTTCCTCATTTCATAATCTACTACTCTAACTCTCTTTTTCTTCTCCTTTTCGTTTTAATATTTATCTTGTTCTTTCTTTTTATTCTAATTCCCCTTTTTTTGTTCTTAATTTTCTTCTTCTCTTTCCCATCTTCCTTGGTCGTTTCTCTCTTTCTTTCCTTCTTTTTCGTTCATGTTCTCCATCCTTTCTTACACACCAACTCTAATTTCCATCCCTTCTCGTTTTTTCTTTGTTGACCTTGTCTCTCTCTATCTCTATCTCTATCTCCGTCTATATATATATATATATATATATATATATATATATATATATATATATATATATATATATGTATGTATGTATGTATGTATATATAATTTTTATCTTATTCTACAAACTCTTTCTCACTCTTTTCGTTTTTTTTTTGTTTATCTTTCCTTCTTTCTCCTTTTATATCTTCGGCCATTCGTTTTCTCTCTCTTATTCTCATCCACCTTCTTTCTCTTTATTCTTTTCATTAAAGTGTATTGTTTATCTTTCTCTCCATTTTTTTTTGTTTATCTTCCCCTTCTTTCTCCATTTATATCTTCGGCCATTCGTTTTCTCTCTCTTATTTTCATCCACCTTCTTTCTCTTTATTCTTTTCATTAAAGTGTATTGTTTCCATTTTGACACTCATTCTTCAATTTCCATATTCCTACAACCTCTCTTTTTCTTCTCCTCCTTCTCTTTGTATTAATTCGCTTTCTTTTTACTTCTTTATCTTCTTCATTTTCTTCTTCTTCTCGTTCTCATCTTCCTATCATTTTCTTCTTTTTTCCCTTTTTTTTTCTTTCATGTTCTCCATCCTTCCCTAAAGTAATTCTCATACTTATTATCCTCGTCACCTTTCTTTATCTTCTTTTAGTTGATTCCTTATTGTTATCTATACATCCTTTTCATCCCTATTTTTTCCTTCCACCTATCTTCCTATTTCAATTTTCTTTATCTACTCTTTCTTCTGCTCACTCATCTTTCTCTTTTTTATTACGCATTATTCTCTGTCCTTTTTTCTTATTTTCCATATACTTTTTCTTCTTTATGTTTTCCCCTTCTATTTTTCCACCTTTTCACCTTTTATCTTTAATTTTTATCCTCTCCTTTCCTTCTCATTCTCCAAAGTCTCTTCGTCTTTTTATTAATCTTCCCTTTTCTTCAACTTCCATCTGTTATCTGTCTGTTGTCCTCATCTAAATTCCCTTCTAGTTGTGCATGTTTATATTTCAATTGGTGTGAGGTATTATTTTTATCCATCTTGTCCTCGTATTCATTCTCTTTCTTCGTTTGTCTTCATGTTCTCCATTCTTTCTTAAAATAATGCTCATACTTTTTTTCTATTCATTACTAAAATTCTTTTGATTATTATTCTCATCCTCCTTCTTTATCTTCTTTTAGTTCATTCCTTATTAATCTTCCCATCTTTTTCATTATTTCACACCTATTTTTCTTCCTTCCACCTATCTTCCATTTCATTCTTCTTTGTCTGCTCCTATTTTTTCTTCTCCTCTTCCTCTTTTTCGTTCACATTATTCTATATCCTGACTCTTTCCTATTTTCTTCCTATTTTTTCTGCTTTTCCTTTTCCCCTTCTATTATTCTATTTATCTTTGATTTTTTCACCACTTTTCCTTCTCGTTCTCCAAATTTTCTTAACTCTCATCGTCCTCGTCTTTTATCTCTCATCTAACTTCCCTTCTCATTTGTGCATGTTTATCTCTTTTCATTTTGACCCTCGTTTCTCTTCCTCTCGTTTTCTTTTTCCTTTTTCTTCATCGTCTCATTTTTCATTATCTTTTTCCTTTTTCGTTAGTCTTCTTTTCGCCTCTCTACCCATTTCTTAATCTATTACTCTACTCTCTTTTTCTTCTCCTTTTTCGTTCTAATATTCATCATGTTCTTTCTTTTTATTCTAACCTTCCTTTTTCTATTCTTAATTTTCTTCTTCTCTTTCCCATCTTCCTTATCCGTTTCTCCATTTCATTCCTTCTCTTTCCTTCATATTTTCCATTCTTTCTTACTACTCTCATTCCCATCCCTACTCGTTTCTCTCTCTCTCTCTCTCTCTCTCTATATATATATATATATATATATATATATATATATATATATATATATATGTATATATATGTATATATATATGTATGTATGTGTATATTATCATCTCTTTTCTTTCTTATTCTCCGAACTCCTTTTCTCACTCTCTCGTCTTTTTTCTTTCTCCTTTTATCCTCTCCTTTCAGTTTCTATCTCTTATCCTCATCCACCTTATTTTTCTTCTCTTTATTCTTTTCATTGAAGTGTAATTTTTATCTTTTTCTGCGTTTTGACCCTCATTCTTCATTTTCCATATTCCTTCATTTTCTCTTTTCTGTATGTCTGTTGTTACTCTTTTTTTTTTTTTTTTTTATCTTGTTCTCATATTCATTCTCTTTCTTCTTATTATACCCACCCTTTTTCTTCTTCCTTTTCTTCTTGTTCTTGTTGTTCTTCTTCTCTTTCTCATCCCAGTCACATTTTCTTCCGTTTTTTCAATTCACTACTCTCAGAATTCTTATTTGTTCTTCGTTTCTTTTTCCCCGTTTATATATCTTTTTTTCAATTCAGTACTCTCACTCTTTTCGTCTTTTTGTTTATCTTACCCTTCCTTCTCCTTTTATCTTTCTCCATTCGTTTTCTCTCTCCTATCCTCATCCACCTTCTTTCTCTTTATTCTTTTCATTAAAGTGTACTGTTTATCTTCTCCATTTTGACACTCATTCCTCATTTTCCATATTCCTTCAACTTCTCCTTTTCTTTGCCTTTTTCTTCCTATTTTTCTTATTGCTCTTCTCCTCGTTTTTTAATCTACTACTGCTCTCTTTTTCTTCTCCCCCTTGTCCTTATATGAATTCTCTTTCTTCTTACTTCTTTATCATCCTCTTCTATTTTCCCTTCTTTTTCTTTCATGTTCTCCATTCTTTCCTAAAATAATTCTCATACATCTTTTCCCTTCCTCTCATGTTCTCATAACTTTTATAATTCTCTCTTTCTATTATTATCCTCGTGACCTTTCTTTATCTTCTTTTAGTTCATTCCTTATTGTTATCTATTCATCCTTTTCAACCTTTATTTTTTCCTTCCACCTATCTTCTCATTTCATTTTTCTTTTATCTACCCTTTCTTCTTCTCATCTTTCTCTTCTTATTAATCTTCCCTTTCCTTCTCCTTCCATCTCTTATTTGTCTTGTTATTTTTCAGTTTTCTGCCTCTTGTCTTTGTAAATTCCCTTCTAGTTTTGCATGTTTATCTTTCTCATGGTGTGAGGTATTATTTTTCTCCATCTTGTTCTCGTATTCATTCTCTTTCTTCGTTTTTCTTCATGTTCTCCATCCTTTCTTAGAATAATTCTCATCCTTTTTTCCCTTAATTATGCTTATAGTTCTTTTTATTATTATTCTCATCCTCCTTCTTTATCTTCATTTAGTTCATTCCTTATTAATCTTCCCAACTTTCTCATCATTTAACCCCTAATTTCCTTCCTTCCACCTATCTTCCATTTCATTCTTCTTTGTCTACTACTTTTTTTTTCTTCCCCTCTTTCTCTTTTTCGTTCACATTATTCTATATCATGACTCTTTCTTATTTTCTTCCTATTTTTTCTTCTTTTCCTTTTCCCTTTCTATTATTCTATATATCTTTGATTTTTTTTGCCACTTTTCCTTCTCGTTCTCCAAATTTTCTTAACTCTCATCATCTTCGTCTTTTTTTTTTATGTCTCTTCCTCTTCCTTCTCCTTCCATCTCTTATTCTGTCCTGTTATTTTTCTGCTTTTTTATCTCTCATCTAACTTCCCTTCTCATTTGTGCATGTTTATCTCTCTTTTCATTTTGACCATCGTTTCTCTTTCTCTTACTTCTGTTTTTTTTTTCTTCTTTTTCTTCATCGTCTCATTTTTCATTATTTTTTACTTCAAAATTTTAATTATTCTTCTTTTCGCCTTTCTACCCATTTCTTAATCTATTACTCTACTCTCTTTTTCTTCTCCTTTTCGTTCTAATATTCATCATGTTCTTTCTTTTTATTCTAACCTTCCTTTTTGTCTTCTTAATTTTCTTCTTCTCTTTCCCATCTTTCTTATCTGTTTCTCTATTTCATTCCTTCTCTTTCCTTCATGTTTTCCATTCGTTCTTACTCACTCTCATTCCTATCCCTACTCGTTTCTCTCTCTCTTTCTCTCTCTCTTTCTCTCTCTCTCTCTCTCTCTCTAGATATATCTATCTATCTATCTATCTATCTATGTATTTGTATATTATCATCTCTTTTCTTTCTTATTCTCCAAACTCCTTTTCTCACTCTCTCGTCTTTTTTCTTTGTCCTTTTATCCTCTCCTTTCAGTTTCTATCTCTTATCCTCATCCACCTACTTATTTTTCTTCTCTTTATTCTTTTCATTGATGTGTAATTTTTATCTTTTTCCCCGTTATGACCCTCATTCTTCATTTTCCATATTCCTTCATTTTCTCTTTTCTGTTTGTCTACTGCTACTGTTTTTTTCTTCTCTTGTTCTCATATTCATTCTCTTTCTTCTTATTATACCCACCTCCTTTCGCTTTCTATCTCTTTTCTTCATCCACCTTCTTATTTTTCTTCTCTTTATTCTTCTCATTAAAGTTTAATTTTTATCTTTTTCTCCGTTTTGACCCTCATTCTTCATTTTCCATATTCCTTCATCTTCTCTTTTCTGTTTGTCTACTGCTACTGTTTTTTTCTTCTCTTGTTCTCATAATCATTCTCTTTCTTCTTATTATACCCAATCTTTCTTTTCTTCTTGTTCTTGTTCTTCTCTTTCTCATTTCACTCACATTTCTTCTTTTTTTTTTTTTTTTCCCCTTCATTACTCTCATAATTCTTATTTTATCTTCGTTTCTTTTTCCCCATTTATGTATCTATAATTTTTATCTTGTCCTTTCCTTCTCACCCTCCAAGTTCTATTTGTCTTTTTGTTAATCTCCTCCTTCCTTCTCTTTTAATCTCTTATTCGTGTTGTTATTTTTAAGCTTTCTACCCCTTTTCCTCATCTACACTCCCTTCTCATTTGTGCGTGTTTATCTTTCTCATGGTGTGAGGTATTATTCTTCCACTTCTTGTCCTCATATTTATTCTCTTTCTTCATTTCCCTGATTTATTATAACTTGGATGAATGAATTTCTTGCTTGCAGTGGAGTATTCTCCATCGATAGTTGGAATGGATGTTTCCCATGGCATTTTCAGGTATTTCATTCTTTTCACACAAACAGTATAACCAGCCTGTCAGAGTATGTGAACCCACTATTGACTAATTGATTTATTTGAAAACCTTTTTAATGGAGAGATGGTTAATTTATTAATTTCAGCTTTGTGTTTACCTTTGTGAATTTCTCTCTATTGTTTTATGCTTTGAAATAAATCTTGAATGCATGTATATATAGGATTTCACAATTGGTCTGATTCTTAATTCTGTAATATGGGCACCAATCCACTTGAATTTGCATAATAAGCCTTAACTTTTGAGCCATGTATAAGGATTGTTGATATGAAGAAGTGACTCCTCACGGGGAAGCCAATTTGGTATGTTTTGAGCCTTAACTTTTGAGCCATGTATAAGGATTGTTGATAGGAAGAAGTGACTCCTGACGGGGAAGCCAATTTGGTATGTTTTGATCCATCTGCATAGTATTCTACGGTTGTTTTGGGGGTTATGATTCTTATTACATTTCACTAACTTCTCAGGGATCTGGTGACAAGCAGTTGGCTGTTCATGGTTCTGTTTCTGCTGTAATATCTGTTCTCAAGGATCCTGTAAGAAGCTGTCCTCACTTCATGGTTTGCTCCACTCTGTGAATATCAACTTCGTTTATACAAATTTGTTTGCCTCAATTAAGTGTCACTGATTTCTGAGATTATTTAATGGGAGCAAGCACCCCTCAGCCACCAAAAATTACTTCTCAGGAACCCCTCTGCATTGAAGTCAGCAACCTTATCACAAGTGAAAAGCATTAATCCAGATAGTGCAAGAAGGTAGATATCTTTATTTTACTTCCCATATTTGTCTTGTTTTGTTCTATATCTCTTTATTTTGGTGAGCTGGAATCTGTGTAATATGTTTCTTTTCAATTATTGATTCGCAGGAACGCAAATATTAAAATGACATCTGAAACTCCAAATATTGCTCAAGAAAATCAAGCTATAAAGAGGCAAAGACTTTTAGAGGGGAAAGCTAGACAGGTGGGTCATTTATTGTCAATTTTTTTTTTTTAACCTTATTAAGTGTATCATTTTTCACATATTTTTATTGAAGAAGACATTGTGGTTGCTGCGTCATTTCCTCCCCCTATTCATGATTGAGTTAATTTTCTTCTGTCCTTTAGGTTGAGAGTGCTTTCATGTGAGAATGCTCAACTTGATCTTTTTGTTTTGGTCCAATCTCATATCTTGTCAAACATGAAACATTTTACTCGTCAATGATTATCTTAGAACACTTACTTAATTCACACCTGTATGAAAAATTTCATACTGATTTTCCAATGTTATAGCATGACCTGAGGTTCGTGAATCAGAAGGGTTGGCATTCCGCGCTCTCTACATGGTACCACTAGTTAGTTCTTGGTGTGTTGACATACCAGTTTTTATATTTTAAATATTTGTTTGATGATGAATTTATTATGGTTCCTTGTGTAGACTGTTGGAATGCAAGCAATTGATGAGATTGTTCTGACACTTCTGCATGCAAAATGGATGTTTGATGTGGATGGTTTAAAACAGATTTTAAGGTTGAAAACCATTTGCAAATGTGTATTTTCTTACATATCTGCCTGGGCACCTTTTCTGATTTTTAAAATGTATTGGATGCTTCTTTCAGTATCGGGACCAGTGCTGTGCTGCCTCATATCCTTCCCAAGCTTGTCCACCTTAAAATGTATTGGATGTTTCTTTCAGTGTCAGGACCAGTGCTGTGCTGCCTCATATCCTTCCCAAGATTGTCCACCTTCTCCTTATCGTAAGTATTGTGTCTGTTTCTTATAGCTTTTTGTATAGAGTAGTATTTCTTTATTATTCACAATGATCTTTGGCTTTATATCCAGTGCCTTCAATGCTATAATGCTTTGGGAGCATTAGCAGAGGTTGTTGGACCTTGTCTTGATGCCCCCCTTGGGTAGCATCCTTCCTGCATTACTCACTGCAATGGGCTATACTGATATGGTAGTACCCTAATTTTTATGCCATAATGCCATTTACTTGGTTTCGTCTTTCACATCATTTAAATTTGAGTCGTTGCTTAAGTTGATTTGTGTTTTTTTTTCATTGCATAACTTGTATGTGTCATGCTTTCACCTTGAAAATATCGGAGGTTCAATGTCTCGCCAAGAAAGCAGCAGAAACTGTTGTCACTGTAATTGACGAGGAAGGTATCAAGTCTTTGCTGTTGGGGCTTCTCAAAGGAGTTGGAGATATTCAGGCATGATTTATTGTTTTACATAATGATAATGTGACTTTCTTTTCTTTGAATTGCATTTTGTAGCTTACACTATTTAAGTTTTATTCTTCCGGGCTTCAATCAGACAAAGTGCTGCATACTTTATTGGATATTTATTCAAAACCAGTTATCTATATCTTGTTGATGAGGCTCCAAATGTGATATCCACCCTGATTATTTTACTAAGTGATTCAGATTCAGCTACCTTGACGGTAGTATTTTGATTCATTGCATGACATTTATACAATGCACTTCAATGTACTAGTTTATCTTACCATGCTCTTTTACAGGTCTCTTGGGAAGCATTGTCTAGTGTGATCAGACAAAGTGCACTTTCTTTTCTTTGAATTGCATTTTGTAGCTTACACTATTTTAAGTTTTATTCTTCCGGGCTTCAATCAGACAAGGTGCTGCATACTTTATTGGATATTTATTCAAAACCAGTTATCTATATCTTGTTGATGAGGCTCCAAATGTGATATCCACCCTGATTATTTTACTAAGTGATTCAGATTCAGCTACCTTGACGGTAGTATTTTGATTCATTGCATGACATTTATACAATGCACTTCAATGTACTAGTTTATCTTACCATGCTCTTTTACAGGTTGCTTGGGAAGCATTGTCTAGTGTGATCAGTTCAGTTCCTAAAGAAGTTCTTCCTTCATATATAAAGTTGGTTTGTGATGTATAGAAACATGCAGGGAGGACCAGTTCTAATACCTGGTTTTTTCCCCCGGAAAGCTCTTCAACCTGTGCTTCCTATGTTCCTCCAGGTATTCCTGCTTATCTTGCATGGTTATGTGAATTTCCTTTATTATCTATTTTCGGGTCTCTTGGATCTGCTGAATTAAGAGAAAGCAGCTTTAGGCCGTGGAGAGTTAATTGAAGTGACAAGTGAGCAAGCATTAAAGGTGTTTTTCATTCCAATCACAGGGTATGAGCTGTTACTATATTTCTACACATTGCTAGTTTTGACTATGAGACTATTAAAAGGATTCGAACTAACAAAATAAGCTATACGTAGACATTATGTTGGCTATTTTTGGTATGCAGTGAACTATGCCCTTTATTAGTGTATCAACTATAAAACAGTCCTCTACATTTGTCTGAACCTTTGGATCACAAGTGTAAGGTCATTCTAGATTGTTTTTGGTGTACGCCGTTGATTCATATATTAGGGTCCCATGGCAAGTTAAAAGTGCAATTCTCGCTGTGTTGAAATGACGGACAACGAGTTGGCTTATTTGGAGTGCATCCACTTGTTTGTGGAGATACTGGATCACTTTTTTTAGTAATGTCTGGGAGTTAGATTTGGTTTTTTACTTTCACAAGGTAGGGTTTGTCAGTCTTTCTCATTGTGAATCTCTGTATTTTCTTTTATTTCTAGTGTATTCACCTTGTGTATGCTGCATTGTAAATTATACTTCTGTTTGATTGCTTTCCTATGAAGGTATACTTCTGTTTAATATGATCTCCTCAATTTGTTTTCAGTTTTGCTTATATCCTTAGCATCAAACCCCAAACTTTGCTCCATAAAATAAGACCTCGAACATCTACCGGCAACTTGTTCACTTCAACTGCTGAAACACGTACAGAAGACTGAAAGGTTAGTATGCATTTCATTTATGGACATTAATTTCTGAATCTAATTCATGTTGAAAATTTCTATTTCCGATTTTTGGTTAGTATGCCACGCTTGAATTGTTTTATGTCAATATAAATACAAATAACTTGCTTAAAAGTTCTATTATTTTTCTAGTACATTTTTTTTAAAAATTTAAACTATTTTTCAGGATGGTATGGCTGGAATCAGTGCAGAGGAATCCTAAGCTTACACTGACAACGCCCAAGGAACCTGAACTTGAAACAACTCAACCTTACTGTCTAGTAAAACTTAAGAGCTCAGCTGAGTTGGAAGAAGAAATGATGGCAAAATTCCCCAAGTTTAAGGCTCGCCCTCTAAATAAGAAGGTACCTCCATTTTGAATGACCGCATTATTTTCCTGAGTGACATCTTGCCTTAGTTTAAGAGATTGCCTTAGTATTCATGTGTCTTTTGTTTATTCCATGTGTTAATTTAATTTTTATTATTTTTTTCTGCTCTTTATCCCTGTAATAAAGTGTATGCAAAAGTAGTCTGTGTTATTATCCATTACTCTGTTTTATGTACAGAGCCTATATATACAAGCCAAGGGAAGAACTAAGCCACTAATTTCAAAATTCAAACCCTAAATTGAGAGTAATTCTCTCAACCGTAACCCAACTTCTCTAACACTCCCCCTCAAGTTGGAGCATAAATATCAAACCTAACCCAAATTCTCTCAACTGTAACCCAACTTCTCTAACACTCCCCCTCAAGTTGGAGCATAAATATCAAACATGCCCAGCTTGTTACCTATATACGACATCCGACTCTCACTCAACCCTTTCGTGAATATGTCAGCTAATTGATCACCACTACGAACAAGCTCAGCAGATGTCAGTCCTTGGTGTACTTTCTCTTGTATAAAGTGACAATCCACCTCAATGTGTTTTGTCCGTTCATGGTATATTGGATTATTCGTAATGTGAATGGTCGCACGATTGTCACACCACAACTTTACAGGAAGTTTCACTTTTACACCCATCTCTTTTAGAATGTTATGCACCCAAACTATCTCACTGGTCACATGAGCCATAGCTCTATATTCAGACTCTGCACTTGATTGCGCCACAATACTTTGCTTCTTACTTTTCCACGAAATTAAATTGCCTCCCAAAAACACACAATACCCTGTCATGGACTTCCTGTCGCTAGGCGAGCCAGCCCAATCTGCATCGTAGAACGCCTCAACACTTGTATGTCCGTAATCAGCATAGATGACCCCCTTCCCAGGTGCACTCTTTAGATATCTCACAATATGAACAACTGCTTCCCAATGAGTTCGTGTAGGTGAACTCATGAATTGATTCACCACATTCACCGAAAACGCAATATCCGGACAAGTAATCGTGAGGTAGTTTAGCTTCCCTTACCAGTCTCCTATACCTTTCTGGATCTTCAAACACCTCCCCCTCATCTAGTACAAGCTTGACCCCTTGTTCCATCTGCGTATCACACGGTTTTAACCCAAGCAATCCAGTATCACCAAGAAGGTCCATCACATATTTTCTCTGTGAAAGAAATATGCCCTTCTTTGAGTGAGCAACCTCAATACCCAGAAAGTATTTTAGTATTCCTAGGATCTTTAGTATGAAACTCAGCTCCAAGGAAGGACTTAAGAACACTAATTCCGTTTGCATCACTACCTGTGATTACAATATCATCCACTTACACTATCAATAAAACACATCCATGGTTAGTATGTTTATAAAAGACAGTATGATCATAAGCACTCCTCTGCATTCCAAATTTCATAACCGCATTGCTAAACCTCCCAAACCACGCACGCGGGGACTGTCTTAGACCGTACAAATACTTCTTTAACTTGCACACTTTTCCAGACCCCCCCGAGCTACAAACCCTTGTGGTTGCTCCATATAAACTTCTTCAAGTAAATCACCATGCAAAAATGTATTTTTGACATTTAATTGATATAAAGGTCAGTGATTAGTAGCAGCCAAAGATATAAAAATGCATACCGAAGCCAATTTAGCCACCGGGGAGAAAGTCTCGGTATAATCTATACCATACGTCTGTGCATACCCCTTAGCCACCAACAGAGCCATCAGGGTTCATCTTCACTACATAAACCCATTTACACCCAATAGCTACCTTACCGAATGGAAGATTCACCAAATCCCAGGTTTGGTTCTCTTCAAGAGCAGCTATCTCTTCCCCCATACCTGTCTCTAACCATCATGACCCATAGCTTGTTTCGAAGATGTTGGCAATGTAACTGACTCTAACAAAGATATAAAGGCACGTGAAGAGGAGGTTAAATGGACATATGACACAATTGAAGAAATGGGATGAGCTTAATGACGCGTACCTTTACGAACAGCAATTGGAAGATCGGAATCTGTTGACGAAGACGCTGGCGAGGAAGGATTGGCTGATGGACCTAACAACGCTTGAACTTCTCTTGACTGCCGGTGATAAACCTGTGTAACAGGAGGCCTAGTCTCAGCCCAACCCACGAAAGGAATGGTAACAGTATATGTAAGGAAATCGTCTGACACTGAATTACAGTCAGACGAGGTGAGAAATTCTTTAAACACAACATCCTCAAAGAACGACACATCAGCAGATATGAAGTACCTTTGTAAGTTAAGAGAATAACACCGATACCCTTTCTGAGTGCTAGAATACCCCATGAGTATGCACTTCAGAGACTTAGGATTAAGTTTCCCCCTTGTGAGGACGGACATTCTGAACAAAACACGTGCATCCAAACACCCTGGGTGGTAGGGAAAATAACAGAGTGGACGGATAGACAAGGTGACACGGAACCTGGGCTGGGAGTACTGTCGAGGGTAATCGCTTAATCAAGAACGAAGATGTATGGACAACATCCGGCAAGAACCCTTCGGGAACTTTCATTTGAAATAACAAGGCCCGGGCAACCTCCAACAGATTGCAATTTTTACGTTCTGTCACACCATTCTGTTGAGGAGTGCCAAGACAAGAGGACTGGTGTATCATTCTATTTTGACTCGTATACTCGGTAAAGTACGGGAAGAATATTCAGTCCCATTATCACTACGCAAAACTTGAATCATTTTATTAAACTGAGTCTTAACCATAGAACAAAACTTACAAAAGACTTTAAATAATTTATCCCTAGATTTCATGAGATATAACCAAGTGTCTCGAGAAATCGTCCACAAAGATTATAAAATATTTCAACCCGGATTTAGACGGAACTCGACATGGTCCCCATACGTCTGAAAATACCAAATGGACCAACTGAAATAAAAACTCTACCCTTTTATTGACTCTAGGCGGATATGTGAACCCACTATTGACTAATTGATTTATTTGAAAAGCTTTTTAATGGAGAGATGGTTATTTTATTAATTTCAGCTTTGTGTTGTCTCTCCTGTTCTTTAATGCTTTGAAATAAATCTTGAATGCACCCAATGCACTGGAATTTGCATAATAAGACTTATCTTTTGAGCCATGTATAAGGATTGTTGATAGGAAGAAATGACTCCTGAAATGGAATCCAATTTGGGCACCCAATTCCTCTCATTTTTTCCATTTTTCTTTCATGTTCTCCAACCTTTCCTAAAATAATTCTCATATACTTCTTTTCCCTTTCCTCCCATGTTTTCATAATTTTTATAATTCTCTATTTCTATTATTATCTTCATCACCTTTTTTTATCTTCTTTTAGTTCAGTCCCTATTGTTTTCTATTCATCCTTTTTATCCCTATTTTTTCCTTCCACCTATCTTCCCATTTCATTTTTCTTTATCTACCCTTTCTTCTTCTCATCTTTCTCTTATTTATTACGCATTATTCTCTATGTCCTTCTTCTTTTTTCTTATTTTCCTTATATTTTTTCTTCTTTTTGTTTTCCCCTTCTATTTTTCCATCTTTTTTCCTTTTATCTTTAATTTTTATCCTCTCATTCTCCAAAGTCTCTCGTCTTTTTATTAATCTTCCCTTTCCTTCTCATTCCATCTCTTATTTGTCTTGTTATTTTTCAGCTTTCTACTTCTTGTCCTCGTATAAATTCCCTTCTAGTTGTGCATGTTTATCTTTCTCCATCTTGTCCTTGTATTCATTCTCTTTCTTCTTTTTACTTCATGTTCTCCATCCTTTATTAAAATAATTCTCACTTTTTTTCCCTTCATTACTCATATAATTCTTTTTATTATTATTCTCATCCTCCTCCTCTATCTTCTTTTAGTTCATTCCTTATTAATCTTCCCATCTTTGTCATCATTTCACCCCTATTTTTCTTCCTTCCACCTATCTTCCATTTCATTCTTCTTTGTCTATTACTATTTTTTCTTTTCCTCTTTCTCTTTTTCGTTCACATTATTCTATATCCTGACCCTTTCTTATTTTTTTCCTATTTTTTCTTCGTTTCATTTTCTCCTTCTATTGTTCTATATATCTATGATTTTTTTCGCCACTTTTCCTGCTCATTCTCCAAATTTTCTTAACTCATCATCTTTGTCTTTTTATTTCTCTTCCTCTTCCTTCCCCTCCCATCTCTTATTCCGTCCTGTTATTTTTCTGCTTTTTATGTCTCATCTAACTTCCCTTCTCAGTTGTGCGTGTTTATCTCTCTTTTTATTTTGAGCCGCTTTTCTCTTTCTCTCGCTTTTTCTTCATCATCTCATTTTCCATTATCTTTTACTTCAAAATTTTTATTATTCCTCTTTTCGCCTCTCTACCCATTTCTTAATCTATTACTCTACTCTATTTTTCTTTTCCTTTTCGTTCTAATACATCTTGTTCTTTATTTTTACTCTAACCTACCTTTTTCTCTTCTTAATTTTTTATCATCTCTTTTCCTTCTTATTGTCCCAACTCATTTTCTCACTCTCTAGTCTTTTCGTTTGACTTTCCTTCCTTTCTCCCTTTCTCATTTTCTACATTTCCTTCCGCTTTCTATCTCTTATCCTCATCCACCTTTTTATTCTTATCCTCTTTATTCTTTTCATTAACTCCGTTTTGACCCTCGTTCTTCATTTTTTATATTTCCTTCATTTTCTCTTTTCTCCTTGTCTACGGCTGCTCATTTTTTCTTCTCTTTCTTGTTCTCATATTCATTATCGTTTTTCTTATTATATCCCAACTTTCTCTTCTTCCTTTCTTCTTCTTCTCTATCTCATCTCACTCACATTTTCTCTCTAATTTTCTTATTTTTTCCTTCGTTTAGTTCATTCTTTATTGTTATCTACTCATCATTCCTTATGATGAGTGCTTTTTTATTAATGAATTTGGATTTCTCTGTGGTAGGTCATGGTAATATCGATAGTAATCTTCGATGTTTATTGTATACAACCATTGTCTGTTGTCTGAATTTCATTGCATGTCTGTTCTTGATTATTTTATGTCCTAAATTCTTCTTTTCTGTCCTTCTGGTTTTTCCCACATTTTGGGATTTTTTACCCTTTGTTCTTTTTGAAATGATTTTCGAAGTTTTTAAGTATTCTTTTTTGTTTTTAATATGTTTTTTTTTTTTTTTTTGAAAAATTTAAAACTGGAAGGGGAAACCCAAGTTGTAGTACAGCAATTAGCTGGATTTATAAACCTCCCGCCATCTAGGCACACCAGAAATATCAGCATCGATTAGTCCTCAGATTTCATTAGGTGAGCTGATAACTTCGCCAGGGCATCCGTTACTTGGTTTTGATCATGGACGATTGGCTCAACTTGCCATACTTCCAGATTGCGTAACTCTTTCTTACATGCTTCTTGGATATTATGGGCGGCAGTCCTCGACTTACCATCGCTATTCAAACACTGCCTTTCTAAACCCCATTGATACTGCTAGCTGAATTCCTTTCAAGAGTGCCCAGGCTTCTGCTTCTAACGGAGAACAGTTGCCAATACTATATGTAAATCCCATCCACGTATATTCTGTATATGGATTTACAGAACCATCCACGTTGACTTTAACAAACTCTTGCGGAGGACTCATACAACACAGTTGCTTCCAGGAGGAGTGATCTGATTGTGACGAGAAGCCTTTTGCCGTTCCAAAGGCCCGGCCTATTTCATCTAATCCATGAAATCTCAACGCTTAACAGCTTCTTAGAGTTATTGAAATTCTTCTTTTCTGTCCTTCTGGTTTTTCCCACATTTTGGGATTTTTTACCCTTTGTTCTTTTTGAAATGATTTTCGAAGTTTTTAAGTATTCTTTTTTGTTTTTAATATGTTTTTTTTTTTTTTTTTGAAAAATTTAAAACTGGAAGGGGAAACCCAAGTTGTAGTACAGCAATTAGCTGGATTTATAAACCTCCCGCCATCTAGGCACACCAGAAATATCAGCATCGATTAGTCCTCAGATTTCATTAGGTGAGCTGATAACTTCGCCAGGGCATCCGTTACTTGGTTTTGATCATGGACGATTGGCTCAACTTGCCATACTTCCAGATTGCGTAACTCTTTCTTACATGCTTCTTGGATATTATGGGCGGCAGTCCTCGACTTACCATCGCTATTCAAACACTGCCTTTCTAAACCCCATTGATACTGCTAGCTGAATTCCTTTCAAGAGTGCCCAGGCTTCTGCTTCTAACGGAGAACAGTTGCCAATACTATATGTAAATCCCATCCACGTATATTCTGTATATGGATTTACAGAACCATCCACGTTGACTTTAACAAACTCTTGCGGAGGACTCATACAACACAGTTGCTTCCAGGAGGAGTGATCTGATTGTGACGAGAAGCCTTTTGCCGTTCCAAAGGCCCGGCCTATTTCATCTAATCCATGAAATCTCAACGCTTAACAGCTTCTTAGAGTTATTGAAGATCGCCTCGTTCGTCCACTTCCATATCCACTATGTTGTTACTGCAAAGAGTGCATCTACCATTCCCAAACGATATGGTGGCACAGCTTGCATAAGAAGAGGGCAGCATCCGCTTCTGGGCAGGATCTTAGAACATGCTCTACATCCTCCACCATTGGCAACAAGCCACATAAAAGTGCGAACGCAATTTGGCACTTTTAGCTTCCACTTCGTTGCCTCCTCCTGATCAGCTTCACCTACGGCTATGTCATACGGAGAGCTAACAGAAAAGCATCCTGGCGATCCTTATTCATATAGTAGCTTGAATCAAGGTTGTGTGTATCTTCTGCAAGTATTCCTAATGCATTGTGTTTTTTTATATGTTAGGAAGGCAAATGATCTTGTGCCAAAACTAGAACTTTGTGTTGTTTGGAACTTTCTTCATATAGTAGCTTGAATCAAGGTTGTGTGTATCTTCTACCATAGATCCTTCATGATACAGAGCTGTTGCACTCAGGCCTAACTTGGTGTTATTAATGGTGTGTTTTGATTCTTCATGCAGTCACCTGACTCCATGCATTCTATTTATTAAAACCCTGCATTAAGTGCTAAGAACATCATTTTTGGACTGGTATTTTCTAGTGTGTTCTTTAGTTTTAAAAATGATTTTCAAGTGTGCTATTTAGTTTTAAAAATGACTATAAAGTGTGCTTTCGTTTAGAAATGATTTTCAAATATTCTTTTTTGTTTTAAAAATGATTTTAAGTGTGCTCTAGTTTAGCAAATATTTTCATGTATTCTTTTTTTAAAATGATTTTCAAGTCTTCTTTTTAGATTTAAAAATGATTTCAAGTGTGCTCTTTTGTTTTAAAAATGATTTTCAAGTGTTCTTTAATTTTATAAATGATTTTCATGTGTTCTTTAGTTTATAAAAATCATTATATAGTGTGCCCTTTTGTTTAAAAATGATTTTAAAGTGTGGTTTATAGTTTAAAAATGATTTTCTAGTGTTCTAAGTTTTAGAAATGATACACCCGAATATGTGCCTGAAGTTGTTGACATTTTTGCTCAATTCCTTGGAGCAGGTTATTTTTCTGTTTCATAACCTATGAATTATTGCTTGCCTAAAGTTGTAGACATTCTTGCTCATAACTCGCCTGATGACTTTAGAGTCGTTTGGAAGCCCAAAAATGACTTCTGGAAAATATTTTCCCGATTTTTCTTGTTTGGCAAGAGGGGAAAAATGAGGTCAGTGTAAAATGACTTCCTTTTTTTGGAGGGCTCTTGAATTCAAATTGGTTCTGCAATTTTGAATGAATGACTTGGTGGAAATTGTTGTGCATGGGCTGGTATCTTCTGTGCTAGTGTCTAATTTGTTGTCAGGTTCTTGATTTTTACATTACAAGGTATCCTGAACTTGGAATATCGGATCCAAATGCCAAATCATTATCTCATTTCATTGATTTGTATTCTCTATTTATCAAGCATATAGGCAATTGTGAATGATCTTTGTTTGTACTTTGAGCATTGTTAGATATTTTGCATATTTGTTAAGATCTCTCTCATAACTAGCTAGATAGGGAACTTGGAAGCACCCACTAAGCATTTGTACATCTTGATCTGTTTTGCAATTTCCATTGTGACTTTCAGTAATCTTTGTTGCAGAATCCTATTGGAATAAGTTTGACACTTTCACATATCATGATATGACGGTAATGTGACCATTACATAATGCCTGCGCACTTCAGAGTGTTGCTCAACAACATGAAGGGAAAGAGAGGCTTTGGTTTTCTTCTCTATTATTACTGTTTCATATGTTGTGGAGTTCTGGGTTGTCATTGCTCCCCCTCAAGAGGAAAGGGCGCAGGGTACATGTTGGATTGGTAGGTGCTTTGTATTATTCTTAGCAGAGAGAAGTTTTATCTGTAGTGTGGTCGTATTAATCTTTAACTATTATTTCAAGTATTCATGAGCATCATAGTTATTTTATTGGAAATTTGATTGTTTTCAAGAAATTATTTGAGCATGGAATTTATCATTTGTACTAACTTGACTCTGGTATAGTGGTATAATAAAGTATATATAAATGGAAATAAGAGATATAAATTTGTATATTTACAGTTTTTTAAGCTAATCCAATCAAATAAAGATATCAGTATATCAGCAATCTAGCTAGCTCATTGGATATTCTTACAAGAGTGAAATTCTTACATTGTGCTCCAGCTTGATCTTGCGTGTTCGGCCATATTTTTCATTTAGGAAGTGACTAAGCACCTATCCAAAAAGATATATGAATATAATCATTGAATTTAATTTGCCCAAAAGATAAATAACAATTTCAACCACTATCATTTAGAAGCTCGAAGCATGGGACATAAGTTATCCTTAGAGGTCATCTTAGAAGGTGTGCTACACCCTTGGCAAGCATTGCTCGTATTAAATATAATTTTTTTTATTACCATAATAATCAGTTTCTTATTACGTAGATATGTGAAGCCTGGGAAGGCCAGAGGCTACAAATCATCATGTCCATGCATGGAAGCTCCTTCAAGTAAACATAGATGCACGGACACACATACAAACACACACGCGAACATATTAATTAATAATTAATTGGCTAATAAAGGTAAGGGGAGAGGCGAGGAGCTATAAAAATTTCAAGAGGTGTGTCTTTGAGGTTGCTTAGTCCAGCCGTCTCAGTCATATCAATTGCTCCATTAGAGATATTTGAGAGCTCAAAAGAATGCAACAAATTAGTCAAGACCAAGTGCAAAATTTGATGAGCACTAGTTGTTCCTGGGCATATTCTTCTACCAGCACCGAACGGAATCAACTCGAAATTCCGTCCCAAAACATCAATCTCCTTATTGCAATTGATAAATCTTTCAGGTTTGAATTCAAGAGGGCTAGACCAAACTTGTGGATCTCGTTGAAGTTTCCATATATTGAAGAATAGCCAAGTGTCTTTTGGAATATGAAAATCGGACATAGTGGTGCAATCTTTTGTGAATATTCTTGAAACTCCAAGTGGACCACCGGGATACAATCTAAATGTTTCTTTTACAATAGCTCGAAGATAAATCAAATGATCAATGTCTGATTCATCCACCTTTCTTTCCTTGCCAACTACCATGTCTAATTCCTCTTGAGCCATCTTCAATACATGGGGATGGTTCATTATCAAAGACAAAGCCCATGTTAGCATGACCATGGGCGAATCTGCTCCTCCAGCAATCAAAACCTTTATACATACAAAAGTTAAATAGTTGATAAAAATTGTGTATTTGATATATATTCACGAATAAAATAATTTGATAAAGAGGACATATATACCATGCAAGTAGATTTGACCACGGTGTCAGCACTGCAACCATTTAGATCAATCTCTTCTATTCGTGACAGAATAGCATCCATGAAATCTTCTTCTTCGTCGCCACCCATAGCCTCTTTCTTCAAACGATGCTCTTGTAACCATTCCTCAGCAAGAGAATCCATTTCTTTAGCAACTTCTTTCATGGCTTTCTCATACCCTCCGATATCTAACCATCCCAAGAAAGGCAGGGCATCCGCCGGCACAAAAGTCCCAAGAAATTTAACAAAATCTCTAATTACCCTTTGGCAACGTCGCCCCTCTTTTTCATCACCAATTGCCAATGCGCCAAAGTATCGTTTTCCGGTCACCATTCGAAGGAGCACGTTGAATGTTAAGTCTCTGAACCACTTCTTCATTTCCACCGGAACACGGCCGAAGGGATCGGAATTTTTCTTTTCAATCCAAAGCTTATACAACTCCTTTACAGAGGTCTCGATCTCGGATACTCTTATGTGCTTCAGCTGCTCTAGCCGTCGGTTGGAGAGTAGCTCCGAGGAAATAAGTTTGCGAATTCCACGCCAATAGGGACCATAGGGAGCTAAAACAAGCATAGTGTCGTTGTAGCCTAAGTGTTTGGTGGCTCGAAACTTTGGGCGAGAAGATATGTGAACGTCGTGGGTAGTTGAGAGTTCTTTTGCCAATTTCCAGTCGCTAACCACCAACACTCTCTGCACACCCATCCGGATAGTGAAAGCCGGCCCATACTTGTCCGCCAGTTCTCCCAGGGCTATGTGAGGAAGTTTAGAGCCTCTGAAAAGGTGAAGATGGCCGAGAATAGGCCATGTTCCACCGGCTTCCGGTGGTAATTTTTGCTCCTTCCGTGACTTGCTACTGTTTGCAAGATAATGAAAAACTACATAAAAAGCAATAGATATACATACAAGGATAATTGATGTATTAAGGTTTTGAAGAAGAAGTTGCATGGTTCCGGCCTGGTGTGAATAATTAAGAACCTTGGGTTAATTGATTTGTGGTTATATACAGCAAGTTTCTCTAAAGTTTCATGTCTTTTTTTTTGGGGGGGGGAAACGTAAATGGTTTATATATACAATAATTTAATTTGTATTGTTAGTACGTACAGTTCTGCCATGTGCTCCCCCTTTTAATTTGTCGTCGTATATATTTCCATCAAAATTTTGCGTGCTGATCTGCCAATGAAAATGATTTTTTTTGTGTAAACCATAGGTGGTCCAGACCACCCGATTAATCCATCCATGTTTGCTCCGGGAAGTATGGGAGCTGACACAAGAAAAATCATCACTGGTGGAAATCGAACACGGGTTATCTCAAAATTATCGTCTACAATGAGAGCTCGTTTGCACTTGAGCTACTCCATTATGGGTTATCCCGAAATTCTCTTCCACAATGAGAGCTCATTTGCCACTTAATTCTCATGTTTGACCCTAACAAGTGGTATCAAAACCAGGTCACGGATTCAAGTCAATAACATTTAAGACTGGTTGGTGCTAGGACGTGAGAATTATAGGGGCGTAGCCCGATAAAGTACCAAGTCCAACACCTAATGTCTCGAAAATGTGACGTAGGCTATCCACAACCATAGAGGGTGTGGATTGTAAATCTACTTAATTAGGTGGCAGATGTCACCTAAGAAAATTAGTAATTTTTTATAACTTTTTGGTTGCAACCTTGCAGAATTTAAAATTTAGTTGCAAGATTGTAAATGTACTCTTGTAGAGTTAGTTGTAGGCTACATTTGTCCTTTTATAATGTACAAACAGTGAAGCAGCCAGACATAATATTGCGTATGGGATTCAGTAAATCAGGCAATTGTTTGCGCTATGCAAAGATTTTATTAAAACAAATGGTTTACGTTTTCGAAAGTCAAACAAACATGATTTCTGATTTTCTGTTCTAAAATATTTTATTGTTTTTTTGTTTGTTTTATTCCTATTAAGGAAACTATATATATCCCTATAAAATAAAACCCATTCATTAAGCCGCAGCGCAAATTTAAAGAAGAGCCATATATGGAACTCCTCAAATACCTTAATCCTTCCATTGCTATCGTAGCAATTGCTTTGTATGTAGTTACATACTCATTATCTTTGTATATGTAGTTACTATCTGCGACAACAAGAAAGATTTCATGGATGCGATGCTTTCACAAATAGAAGGGATTGATCTTAATGGTTGCCGTGCTGACACCGCCATAAAAGCTAATTGCATGGTATATATATGATCTATGTTTATATTTAAAATTCATACATACAACTTTAATGTTATATGAAATATATTAAATTTTGTATATCCACTATCTAAATTTGGTCATTTAGTCTGGTAATAAAAACAAAAATGAATAGAAAAGAATAAAGGTTCGGGGCGTATATCTACGTCCAATCTACGATAGAGGAGAAGGTTCCTTCGGAACAATTTTTTTTTTTTTAAATTCAAAATTCCTCGTTTCTTTTTTTTTTTTTTTAAGAATAAAAGGGGGGGGGGGGGGGTGGGGGGTACTGACAAAAATATATTGGAACATCAATTTGGAAGAGATGATGGAGGCCGGAGTTCATTTTGGTCATGGTACTCGCTGGAGGAACAGAAACAGTAACAGTAGTGCTAACATGGGCTTTGTCTTTGATGATGAACAATCCCCATGTGTTGAAGATGGCTCAAGAAGAATTGGACATGGTAGTTGGGAAAGAAAGAAAAATAAATGAATTAGACATCAATAATTTGATTTATTTTCAAGCTATTGTCAAAGAAACATTAAGGATGTATCCTGCAGCTCCATTAGGAGGTCCAAGAATATTCGCAGAAGATTGCACCATATATGGTTTTCATGTTCCAAAAGAAACATGGTTGTTCTTTAACATGCATAAACTCCAACAAGATCCACAAGTTTGGTCTAGTCCTCATGAATTCAAACCTGAGAGATTTATTAATTGCCATAAGGAGGTTGATGTTTTTGGACGAAATTTTGAGTTGATTCCATTTGGTATTGGTAGAAGAATATGTCCAGGAACAACTTTTAGTCTTCAAATGTTGCACTTGATCTTAGCCAATTTGTTGCATTCCTTTGAGCTTTCAAACGTCTCTCATGTAGGAATTGATATGACTGAGACAATTGGACTAAGCAACCTCAAAGGCACACCACTTGAAGTTCTCTTAGCTCCTCGTGCTCATCTCTATTAGTCAATCACTAATTAATACTCCGTATATGTTTTTTTTTTCGGTGCATTTAAGTTAATACGTGTGTGTTTGTATGTTCACTAGAAAGTGCTTCCATGGACATCATGATTTATCAGATCTCTGTGGCCTATATGAAAAGCTAAGGTAACTTTCAACAACACTATATAAAATTAATACAGAGATAATTTGCAGTCTCATCACAATCATAAGCCAAACAAAAAGATATGTATTACTTAGAAGACTTGGTCAAAAGATTAAATGTGACAACAGAAAAGTGTGCATAAAATGTGGTAAGAAAAATTTAGGGACCACAAATAAGAATACTAGAAATGATATGTATTACTTATGAGGAGCAAATACCAATTTTGATCCCACGAGTATTAGCAAAATGACAATTTTGATCCACATGTTTAATTCTTATTAATTTTCATCCACGACTATTGTTTTAGTGTCAAAATTAATCATACCGGTCACTCTTTCGTTTCAGACATGCTGAAATATGAAATTATTAAGGGTATTTCGTCCTTTTCAAATTAATAACCCAATTTGATCATAAATAAAAGGATTTAAGCTCTAAAATCTATCTCAATTCGTAGTTTTCCTCCTTAAATTAAGGTAGGGTGAGAAGGAGAACTGCAAATTGGATCGATCTTAGGACTTAAATCCCTTTATTCATACCCAAATTGGAATCTTAAGTTGAAAATGATGAAAATGCCCTTAAATTTTTTAGATTTCAACATGTCTTAATTGGAGTGGTGATCAACGTGATGAATTTTGGCACTAAAAAATAGTAAAATTGATACTAAAACAATAGTAGTGGATGAAAATTAGTATGAATATAATTAAACATATGGACCAAAACTGTTATTTTATTAATACTCGTGGGAGCAAAATTTGTATTTGCTCTACTTATGTGTATGCTCGGCTAATTTGCTCTACTTATGAGTATGCTCGCAGCCGACAAAATGGAGCCTAGTCCACCTAAGTTAGGTGTACAAGTATATAGCTATAATATTGCGTATTTTCCATTTGGATAACATCAAAATATTGCGATTTTTAATGAGATTCGAAAAATCTAAGCTAATCCAATCAAATAAGGGCATTAGCATGTCTGTAAATCAGCAACCTAGCTAATACGTTGTGGTGTTCTAAAATCAAACAAACATGATTTGCGTGATAAAATATATTATTGTTTTTTCGTTTTATTCCTGTTTTACGAAAGCTATAAATATCCCTATATAATATAAGGATAACCCATCCATTAAGCCGCAGTGATAATTTAAAGAAGAGCCAAATATGGAACTCCTCAAATACCTTAACCCGTCCATTGTTGTCGTAGCAATTGCTTTGTGTGTAGTTATTCATTATGTGTCTCGCAATGCCATGTCTCGGAGAAGAAGATTACCGCCGGAAGCAGGTGGCGCGTGGCCAATTGTAGGCCACCTTCATATCTTCAGCGGCTCTAGCCTTCCTCATATTGTCCTAGGAGATATGGCTGACAAGTATGGACCCGTCTTCACTATTCGGATCGGTGTGCATAGAGGTTTGGTGGTTAGCGACTGGAAATTGGCCAAACAACTCTCAACGGCCCACGACGCTCACATTTCTTCTCGTCCCCAGTCTCGAGCCGCCAAACACTTGGGCTACAACAGCTATTTGCTTGCTTTGACTCCCTATAGTCCCTACTGGCGTGACCTTCGCAAACTTATTTCCATAGAACTGCTCTCCACTCGACGGCTTGAACAGCTGAAGCACATAAGAGTGGCCGAGGTCGAGAACTCTATAAAGGAGCTCTATAAGCTTTGGATTGAAAACAACAACCCGGACCATTCCGGGCATGTTTTGGTGGAAATGAAGAAGTGGTTCGGAGACCTAACACTCAACATGGTCCTTCAAATGGTGGTCGGAAAACGAATCTTTGGTACCGATGAAAAAGATGGGCGACTTTGCCAAAGGGTGGTGAGAGATTTTGTTAAATTTCTTGGGATTTTTGTACCGGCAGATGCCCGGCCTTTTTTGGGATGGCTGGATATTGGAGGGTGTGAGAAATCTATGAAGAAAGTTGCTAAGGAAATGGACTCTCTTGCTGACGAATGGTTACAAGATCACCGTCGGAAGAAAGAGGCGATGGGTGATGGATATACTATCTGTGACGGCGAGAAAGATTTTATGGATGCGATGCTTTCACAAATAGAAGGGATTGATCTTAATGGTTGTAGTGCTGACACCGCCATCAAAGCTACTTGCATGGTATATGATTTATGTTTATCAAATTATCATTCCTAAATTTAAGCCTTTCACGTATACTTAATGTAATATGAAATATTAAATTTTGTATATCAGAGTATGATTGCTGGTGGAACAGATACGGTCATGGTAGTGTTAACATGGGCTTTGTCTTTGATGATGAACAATCCCCATGTGTTAAAGATGGCTCAAGAAGAACTGGACATGGTAGTTGGGAAAGAAAGAAAAGTAAATGAATTAGACAACAATAATTTGATTTATTTGCAAGCTATTGTCAAAGAAACATTAAGGATGTATCCTGCAGCTCCGTTGGGAGGTCCAAGAATATTCACAGGAGATTGCACAATATATGGTTTTCATGTTCCAAAAGAAACTTGGCTATTCTTTAACATGCAGAAACTCCAACGAGATCCACAAGTTTGGTCTAGTCCTCATGAATTCAAACCTGAGAGATTTATTAATTGCCATAAGGAGGTTGATGTTTTTGGACGAAATTTCGAGTTGATTCCATTTGGTATTGGTAGAAGAATATGTCCAGGAACAACTTTTAGTCTTCAAATGTTGCACTTGATCTTAGCCAATTTGTTGCATTCCTTTGAGCTTTCAAACGTCTCTCATGTAGGAATTGATATGACTGAGACAATTGGACTAAGCAACCTCAAAGGCACACCACTTGAAGTTCTCTTAGCTCCTCGTCTCTCCGCTCATCTCTATTAGTCAATCACACATGTAATGAATATATGTCTTTTTTGGCGCATCTAATTAATATGTGTGTCTATGTTTGTATATTCACTAGAAAGTGTTTCCATGAATCCATGGACATCATGATTTATCATATCTCTGTGGCCTATATGAAAGGTAACTTTCAACACAACTATATAAAATTAATACACATAGATAGTTTGCAGTCTCATCACAATCATAAGCCAAACAAAAAGATATAGCAACTCAAAATCTATTATAAGCTCTATTATTTTCAAGCAAATCAATAAAGTAGTACAAATTTACTAAATAATTGAACAACAACAAAACTACATTATGCAAATATTAAAGCTACCAAAGGTGCTTTTTCTGTAACATCAAAACATCTTGTGGTTTTGAATGCGATTCCACTAATTTAAGCTAATCCATTTAAATAATTAAAGACATCAGCATCTCAGTATATCAGCAAGTTACCTCTCATAGGATGTCTGTACTCTGCAAAGAATTATGAAACCAGTTGAATAGTTTATGGTGTTTAGGAATCAGTTTAAATATGTATATGCTTTAGTCAAACAAAAGATGATTTAAATTATTTATAGACCACATACACATGCATCTATATGGGCTCCTTATACACAATCTGTATAAGGGCTAGCAGACAAGCAGTCATTTTCTATCTTCTGATCAACACACAAAAAACTACTCCTTATACACAATCTGTATAAGGGCTAGCAGACAAGCAGTCATTTTCTATCTTCTGATCAACACACAAAAAACTGCAGTGCCTAATTTTCATGGCCACAATAAACTGCGGCGGCTAATTTTCTGTAAAGATATTAGTCAGTTTAGATCCAATCAAATATAGAAATGCTTACACCCTATGGCACAAATATATAGATAATCACACATCAATTAATCCACACACCATAACCATGGAATTTGTTCTCCAAAACCTGGATACTTCAGTTATTGTTGTAGCTGTAGCTATTGCTTTTTATATAGTTTTTCATTATCTTTCTCACAATAACAGGTATCGGAAACAAAAATTACTGCCTGAAGCAGGTGGGGGATGGCCAATTATAGGCCACCTTCACATCTTCAGCGGCTCTAAGCTTCCTCATGTTGCCCTGGGAAACATGGCTGACAAGTATGGACCAGCCTTCACTATCCGAATCGGTGTGCAGAGAGTCTTGGTGGTCAGTGACTGGAAATTAGCCAAAGAACTCTCCACTGTCCATGATGTTCACATTTCTACTCGACCCAAGTTTCGAGCTGCCAAACACTTGGGCTACAACTACATAATGTTTGCTTTCACTCCCTATGGTCCTTACTGGCGCGAGGTTCGCAAACTTATTTCCACAGCACTACTCTCCAACCGAAAGCTTGAGCAGCTCAAGCACATAAGAGTGTCTGAGATTGACACCTCTATAAAGGAGTTGTATAAGCTTTGGGCTGAAAAGAAAAATTCTGAACCTTCTGGCAGTGTTCAGGTGGAAATGAAGAAGTGGTTTGCAGACATAACACTTAATGTGTTCCTTCGAATGATAGCCAGCAAACGATACTTTGGTACAGCAGAGGTTAGTGATGAAAAAGAGGGGCGGCGTTGCCAAAGGGTATTGAGAGGTTTTTCTCAGTATCTTGGGGGTTTTGTCCCAGCAGATGCCCTACCTTTTTTGGGATGGTTAGATATCGGAGGGTATGAGAAACCATGAAAGAAGTTGCTAAAGAAATGGACTCTCTTGTTGATGAATGGTTACAAGAGCATCGTTTGAAGAAAGAGGCCACAGGTGATGGATCTATTGTTAGAGGTAGCAAGGAAGACTTCATGGATGTGATGCTTTCACGAATGGAAGGGATTGATCTTAATAGTTTCAATGCTGATAGTGTTATCAAATCAGCTTGCATGGTATGTACTCTTTCATTCCTAAATTTAAGTCTTCCATGTGTACTTGAAATTAAATATAATACATATACTTATATCATGTATCTAATTCACAGTTTTCTTTAACTATTTAAATTTTGTATATATATCAGGCTTTGATTGCTGGAGGAGCAGATACGACCTCGGTCATGCTAACATGGGCTCTATCTTTGATGATGAACAACCCCCATGTGTTAAAGATGGCTCAAGAAGAACTAGACATTGTAGTTGGCAAGGAAAGAAAGGTAAATGAATCAGATATCAAGAACTTGGTGTATCTCCAAGCTATTGTGAAAGAAACATTTAGGATGTACCCAGGGGCTCCACTAGGAGGCCCAAGAATGTTCACAAAAGATTGCATCGTGTCTGGTTTTCACGTTCCAAAAGACACTTGGTTGTTCTTTAACCTGTGGAAACTCCAACAAGATTCACAAGTTTGGTCTAGCCCTCACGAATTTAAACCTGAGAGGTTTATTAATAGTCATAAAGACCTTGATGTTTTGGGACAAGATTTTGAGTTGATCCCATTTGGTGCCGGTAGAAGAATATGCCCAGGAATAACTTTTGGTCTTCAAATGGTGCACTTGGTGTTGGCTAATTTGTTACATTCCTTTGAGCTCTCAAATGTCTCTAATGAAGGAATTGATATGACTGAGACAGCTGGACTAACCAACCTCAAAACTACACCACTTGAAATTCTCATAGTTCCCCGCCTCTCCCATAATCTTTATTAGTCAACCACACATTAATATGTATGTGTGCATATATCTATTCATACAGTGTAGATATTTATGCATTTGTCACTGCCAGAATATTTTGAAGCCTATGCACAACATATGAATGTAATTATATAAAACGCTTCCATGAACTTTCAATCCTGTCAATTCAATTAGTATATAAAACTAATGGTTGATTGTTGGCTAGATTTGATTTTCATAAAACATACACAGACTTGTTATTCAACTCTTAACTATACATAAGAGTTTCTTAAGACATTTTTTTTTTTCGAATAGATGGTAAGTAATCTCATCCTATGTTAAGCAAAACAGAAACTCATAGCAACTCAAACCTACTCTAAGTTCTCTTGTTTTTTTGACAAAATAAAAAAAGTAATACGAATTTACCAAATAAACAAACAATGAAAGAGAATAAATTCATAAATAATCAGAATATTTCAACAAACAATAAATTTTCAAAAAAAAAAAACAAAAAAAAAAAGAGTAAATAGGGTAAGAGAGAACCTCCGGAGGTGCATAGCATCCAGGGGATTTTGAAAAAAATCAGTATCGAAAGGCATATCGGCAAAATGGGAGCTCAATCTGCTCTTCCTCGCACTGGTCACTCTCGACAAATTCTTCCAAATCAACCATATTAGAAGCGGAAAACATAGAAAGGAAAATGGTGGAAGGGATTATAAGGCAAACAATCAGAAGAAAATTTGGTCTCACAAGTCATCCTGCAGCCGGCGTTACGAAGAGCTAGTTAATGGAAGAGAGAAAGGTCGGGGAAAGACGTGAGACGATATCGGTGACCGTAGAAGAAAAGTAAAAAACAAATGAAAATTGCATTCTTACCAAACAATTTTTATAACCAATTAATACTTCTGCTAACTGCCTTTTATCAAACACACCATTAGAAAGTTTTGTTAGGTAATAATTATGTTGATTTAATTGGATAAAGTTATTAATATAGGATATTTGATATTCAAATATTTTATTAATATGTATTACAAAGTAATTAAAATTACAAATTATTAAAATTTTCTCAATAAATTACATTACTAGCTGAAGTATAATTTATGTCATAGTAATAAAATTTTGAAATATTTTATGCAAATTCTATATGGGCTCAATCTAACCTTTCACTCTCCAATATTGTGACAAATGTTTTCCATAAATGGTTTAGTGCAATCTTGAATGTTCTAAACACTTAATGGAATTATGTACGCAACTGCAATTTTATATCATATTTGGGGAGCGCGAAATGGAGCGGTTTAAGACGCCTATCTACCAATGTCGAAGAAATTGATTGCCGCAGCGGCTGCCACCATGCAAGCATGGCGACAAGTACACCACGCGGTTGCCGGCCGTGCACCAGCCGGAGAAACCGTCGTTGCCAGCCAAGCCGACGCTGCTTCCACCGCCACTGCCCACCGTTGCGACCCAGACTACTACAACACGGCCGAGAAGGTGCTACGTCGACGCCTGGTATCATCACACCACGAACTTGGCCACGATCTGAGCAATCCTTCTCGACGCCGAAGGTGGTTATGTTTCGGCCTACAACGCTTCACTCCCGAATTGTTTCTCCCCACTTATTGTCGAAGCATTCGCGTGCAAAGAGGCCTTGTCATGGCTAAGGCCTCGTGATGAACAGTCTATAGAGCTATACACGGATTGTCATACACTTCAGTGTTACCTATCTTCGCCAGGAGCTCCGTTTCGATCGTATATTGGTTATGCTATTGATGGTTGTAAGGCTTGCATATCTACGTTTGATTTCTGCTCAATTAATTTTATTGGAGAATTTGATAAGGAGACATGGTGGGATATGATAGAATGGGAACACATAGGAACAAAATCAAACATAGTCATATCGAACATAGTATAGAATTAGGCATCGGGTTTGTTAGAATGAATTCGTGTTTGCCAGCTTTATGCATCCAACATTCCAACCCAATCTCAGCATCTAGACTTTATTAGAAAGCTAATCATATGCTAACAACTGTACTACAAGGATTTTGCTTGGTTGAAGAAGTTTGTTAGTGAGAATATATTAAGCAGCATAATGTCTTATTTCAATTTATTTATTATTTTGAGCATGGATAACTAAGAATGTCCATTTTTCGCATGGTGTTAGTTTTTGAACTTATTTAATATGTTTTGATCTTTTCTTATGGATAAATAATCTATTGTAAACGTGTTGATTACTAGGTATTGCGAGCCTGACAAATTTGAACTTACAAGGTCTTCAAGTTCTTCTTGAGTTGCTAAGGTTTGTTTTGAACTTACAAAATTTTCATTTGTTGTTTATTTGCTGGCTAAACCGCCTGAAATTCTTACCTTGTACTCCTCTCAGTACCATCTTCATGGCACTCATCATTCCCCTTCCCTTTGCCGGATTTAGGGCTCGGATTCAGACGCAATTGCGGTAAGAATTTCCAATTCCCCCAATTACTTTCATCACCGCCAAACCCATTTTTTTCTGCACCTCAGCTCAATGAGCAGAGTGATAGATAATTCTGGGTTTGTCCGTGATAATGGTGTTATTAAAGCAATTATTATTATGTTTTTGTTGTTGATTAATAATCTCTCTTTTTTGTTTTGTTTCTAAAATTTAGATGGATTGTTGTTGCACTTGGAGCACTGATGAGCGGATTTTCGTTCCCGATGTAAGGTATATTGTTTTAATTTTTTTTTTTTAAATTTAAATGTATTTATTTTTGTGCCGGTCATTGTTTTTGTTATTTTTTTTTTGTTATTTTTTTTTTAATTTAAACCAACATTGCTTCATTGATATCAAAATGCTAAGTACAAAATACCCAATAGTGGTCCAAAGAAATACAAGCCTGAACAATGGACCATAAATAAACATTAAATTTTTTAAAAATATATTATTTATCGTAAGGTACATTTTTAATATATTAAGAGTACATTATTTCATATAATGTATTTTTAGTATATAAATAATTTACTTTTAATATATTAAAAATTAAAAAATATATTTTATTTATAGTTTACAAAAAATTTATAGACCATAAATAATAGTAATGACCCAAGGCCCTTTTATTTTTGTATAGTCATAAACAGCAAATTATGCCCTGGACCCGTGTCGAATTGTGGACACGGGCTCAAAACGACGTCGTTTTTTTTTAAAAAATGTCATTTAGTTAAAAAAAAAAAAATCGCGCGCGTTTTGTCGTTAACGGCGTTATTTTTTATTTTTTTTGGATTATGAATGTACAGTTATGCCGTTATGAATGTACAGTTATGCAATTATGAAATTATGAACACAGAGCTCTAACATTATGAACTTACAATTATGAACATATATAGTGATAAAATTATGACCATGGAGCTTTAAAATTGTGAATATAGAGCTTTGAAGATTATGAATGTACAGTTATAGAGTTATGAATCTACAGTTATGGAGTTATGAATCTACAGTTATGAGATTATTAATCTACAGTTATGGAATTATGAATGTATAGTTATTGATCGAATTATGAACAAAGAGCTCTAACATTATGAACTTACAATTATGAACATATAGTGATAAAATTATGAACATAGAGCTCTAAAATTGTGAACATACAGCTTCGAAAATTATAAATGTACAATTATGGAGTTATGAATGTACAGTTATGAAGTTATGAATGTACAATTATAAAGTTATGAACGTACAATTATGGAGTTATGAATGTACAGTTATTAACATATAGTAATAAATTTATGAACATATACTTTTATAACAAAACGGTCTGAAATTAAAAAAAAAAATAAAAGAAGATAACAGTGCCTAACGGCACTGTTACCCGTGTCCAGCAAGCATGCTGGACAGGGTCCAACGCATAACGATTGGTCATAAACATATACACTGTCCCTAAGGCCCAAAATATATATAAAAAAGTGGCCTAATTAATTACCCATAGACATTTCTTGTGCTAATCCCAATTTATTATCCATCGGGCCCACGTATAAATATCTAAAGCCCAAGCCAAACCGGCTAACACATTGTTCGGACAGGCAGACCACTCTGTACGCTCTCATCTCTCTCTAAACTATCTCAAATCTCCGGCGGCTTTAAACTTCAAAATCTCCTCCAATCCTTCCCTTCTCTTCTCCGGTTTCAAACTTCAAAATCTCCAACGGATTAAATTTGTTAGAAAATCTCCACCAAATCTCCAACGGATTAAATTTGTAAGAAAATCTCCAACGGTTTAAATTTTTAAGTCGGCTACTCGGCTATTTATTTTGGGTTTCCTTTTTCCGATTGCTCTGTCTCGACTATAGAGGAGGGCAGAGAAGGGAAGCAGAGGAGGGGGGCCATTCATGGATTCGGAAGAATTGGAAGGAACTTCTTGAGGTGTTGGCATTGGAAGGAAGGATTTTCCCCTTGATGTCATTGCCATCAATGACGCCGGAGGTGTCAAGCAGGCCTTGGCATCCCGTCGGCGACGATGCCATCTCCGTCGACGGCAAGTTCATCAATATCGTATCCAGCCGCAATCCCATCAACATCCCGGCAAGGTAATATTTAATCATATTTTATTATTTTAATTTCTACGCAGTGTGGTTTTCGGTTCATCTTAAGACTCATTTATTATGTTTGGTTCGGTACTACGATGTATATTCCTATCTCATGCTATGCAAGTTGTTTGCAGGACTGTTTGATCTAGTGCTCTTGCCCTTGGTAAACTAAGTGCACTCACAACTAGGGTTGATCCTTTGGTTGGTGATCTTTTATCTGCTTTGCAGGTGATGTACATCATCTTATGTTTCTTTTTTTTGTTTCTTTTCTTTGGTTTTAACTTTCAAAATCTAATATTGTGGTGATATGCGCAGCAGGCTTCAGATGTTGGAATTGGTGAGGCTATTTTGACCGCTTTGAAAGGAGTGATCAAACATGCTGCCAAAAGTGTGAGCAGTGCTTCTAGAACACTTGTAGTTACATAGTTTCTCTCTATCATTCAAATAAAAAAAAAATACTCTGTGTTTGTGGCCTTCTTTTCATGTGAAATTACTTCTAAATTTGTTTATTATTTGACAGATTGTTGATGCTCTTTACTATAACCCTTCATTTACGCTGAGCATACTGCAAAAGCTTGGTGTTGCTACAGAGATCTTCAATCTTTGGTTCCATATGCTACAACAAACTAAAAAAAGTGGAGCTCGGGCTAATTCTAAAAGGTAGCAATATGTTGGTCTTGTAGTTCTTGTGGAGAGATGTAAAAGGCATAAGAAAAACAAAGCTAAGAGAAGTGATGGTCTTGCCATGTTGGTATTGCAGGGAGCATGAGAAGAGGGTTTGCTGCTTGGGCTTGACATCATTGCTCAGTCTTCCTGCTGATCAAATGCCTGCAGCTGCCTTTGAGGGCATTTTTTAAGGCCATTCTTGACCTCATTGTATGCACAAGGAGCAACTTGCTGGTAAGTAACCATTTTATTTTATTTTATTATTCTTTTTATTCTATGTTTTTCCCATACTGGTTTTTCTATTTGTTTCATTTGCACTTTAGATGGTATATTCTGATTATTCTCTTAATGTTTGATATCATTTTCTACCTTCTATATCTTCAGAAGCTGCAAATGCAGAGGAAGCTGAAGATGAGGTTGAGATGGATGGATTTCGAAGTGATGATGATGACGATGAGTGTGATACAGAAATGGCAGATGATGGAGATGAAGCTGACAGCCTAAAGCTCCAAACGTTGGCAGCAAAGGTAACAGAATTAAGAGACAAATTGTATCATACCCATCTAAGCATCTTGTTCATGCTTGTTTTCTGTTCATTTCCTTTGTGAAATTAACATCCATCTCTATATGCTGAAACTTTGTGGTTTTCAGGCGAGTGCTTTCCGCTGCAATGATGACGAGGATGACTCATCTGATGATGAAGAGTTGCAATCAGCCATTGATGGGGTGGATCCTTTTGTTTTCTTTGTTGATTTTGTCAAAGGTATGCCTGCCTATTTCATCCTTTTGGGTTAATTAGTTTTTGCTATACTGTGAGATAAAATGTTTTGACCTTGTCCTTTGCTGAAAACTAAAACCACAGCATGTTTCCTTTTATTTGGTTCAAGTACTATTAATAGGTGTATGATTTCAAGTGTGCTCTTTAGTTTAAAAAGGATTTTCAAGTGTGCACTTTAGTTTAAAAATGATTTTTAAGTGTACTCTTTAGTTTAAAAATCATTTTCAAATGTGCTCTAGTTTAAAAATAATTTTCAATTGTGCTCTTTAGTTTAAAAATAATTTTCAAGTGTACTCTTTAGTTTAAAAATGATTGTATATCCGTGATGCTGGTTTTTGTGAAGACAATATTGGTGCTAGTTGGATTGGCAGACAAGGGATAGCATTGGCTTTACATTCTATGGCTATGTATTATTATTACGTGCTTTAAGCTTGTTCTTTATGCTTACCGCTCTCTCTCTCTCTCTCTCTTTGAAATACTATGAGAAATCTGGTTGATTCATTTAAGTTTATAGGTGTCAATATTCTTTTGTAGGCTTACTTCATTTATTTTTTGCCCTAAAAAGAATCTCTTCATTTGTATACCAAATTTTCTATTATTTAATAATTATAGCACAGAAATTCTTCCAAGAATTATTATATGTAAGGAACTAAGTATAATCTATTAATTATACATAAAGATTGTTTTTATTATTGCTGTTGTCGTTTTTGGAATCTGTTTCACATTATTACAAGCATTGGTAACAAGAATTAAGAATGCAAGATTGTTGAGCTCTGATTGCATGGTTATGTGAATTTCCTTTATTATCTGCAGGGTCTTATAATTGGATCTGCTGAATTAAGAGAGAAAGCAGCTTTGGGCCGTGGAGGGTTAATTGAAGTGACAAGTGAGCAAGCATTAAAGGAGTTTTTCATTCCAATCACAGGGTATGAACTGTTACTATAGTTCTACACATTGCTAGTTTTGACCAGAGACTATTAAAAGGATTGCAACCAACAAAATAAGCTATACGTAGATATTACGTTGCCTATTTATGGTATGCAGTGAACTATGCCCTTTATTAGTGCATCATCTATAACAGTCCTCTAATTGTCTGAACTTTTGGCTAACCAGTGTAAGGCCACTCTAGATTGCTTGTTCATGAATTGTTATATGGTGTAGGCCGTTCATCCGTATAATCGGGGACAGGTTCCCATGGCAAGTTAAAAGTGCAATTCTCTCAACTTTGAGCATCATAATACGGATGGGTGGGTTGGCCCTAAAGCCTTTTCTTCCCCAGCTTCAAACAACATTTGATAAGTGTTTGCAGGATAATACAAGGTTAGCTTTTAATTCATATGGTTTTTCAGTTCTTTTTTAGACTCGTTTATTTTGTTAGGTTCAGTACTACGATGTATATACCTAGCTCATGCTATGCAAGTTGTTTGCAGGACTGTTCGATCAAGTGGTGCTCTTGCCCTTGGTAAACTAAGTGCACTCACAACTAGGATTGATCCTTTGGTGTTGGTGATCTTTTTTCTGCTTTACAGGTGGCATACTTCATCTTATGTTTTTTTTTTCTTCTCTTTTCTTTGGTTTTAACCTTCAGAATCTAATATTGTGGTGATATGGGCAGCAGTATTCAGATGTTGGAATTCGTGATGCTATTTTGACTGCTTTGAAAGGAGTGATTAAACATGCTGGCAAAAGTGTGAGCCGTGCTTCTAGAACACGTCTAGTAACATAGTTTCTCTCATTAAAAAAAAAATACTAGTTGTTGTATTTTTTTTTTTTTAAAGAAGAAAGGAAATACTTCAAAATAATATACTGTTCCAGACGACGGGCAAAACAGAAAAGCTTCTCTTTTTCGCTAAATGCCAGACTGAATCAACCCAGTCTTGTCTCTTGGATCTCCAGTGGTTCTATCAAAATGGTAATTTCAAGCATTGCCATTTGGGTGTTCTCTCGATTCATTTTTCTGGCGAATTGGTTGATGGTTTGGTTTGGACTTGAAATGGGCAGATTTGATTCATTCTGCTTAAAAACTGGCAATGATAGACTCGTTTGGCCAAGTATTACACCCCACTCGAGGAATCCGAGAAACACAAAGTCAAAAACATGTTCTTGCTATGATATCTCGATACATTTGTGTCATTAATGCTGAGTTTTAACATTTGATCTGGTTCTGGAGGTTCATCGGTTGGTCATGAATAGAGACCCCAAATTCACCAACTTTGTGGAGCTGAGAGTGTTAGAACTTTTTTTTTTTTTTTTTCACAAATCGTTCTATTGCCTCATGTAAAACTTTTCATGCAATGATAAGATCTGTGCTGTGTGTTCTATTCCTTTCATAGTTAAGAGGCCATTGATTCCTTAAACTGTACTGCCAAAGATGCTCTGATTGAATACTGACTCTGTTGATTGTGGTGAAGAGCGGAATGTGAAGGAAATAGTTAATTGTTTCTCACTTGCTAGTTCTCTTCCACAGTTCTACTAACTAATCCAAGAAGGAGATGAGATAAAACATACTGTTAATCCCCGAGGGTGTCGTTTTGAAGACACTTTTACAGAGTATGAGAGTGAATTCTTTTGTCCTGCGGGATTGTAATGGCTTGTAGTTGATGTTTACCTTGTCAGTTCCGAGCACACAAGATAATCTATTAATCTACAGGCGGTTTGCTGGGCTAATTTTCTCGCTCTGTGTTGATATGACGGACAACGAGTTTGCTTATTTGGAGTGCATCCACTTGTTTGTGGAGATACTGGATCACTTCTTTAGTATTGTTTGCGAGTTAGATTTGGTTTTTAACTTTCACAAGGTATGGTTTGTCAGTCTTTCTTATTGTGAATCTCTGTATTTTCTTTTACTTCTAGTGTATTTACCTTGTGTATGCAGCATTGTTTTCCTATGAAGGTATATCTAATCTTAGATGAATTCGTTCTCGCGGGGAGCTCCAAGAAACAAGTAAGAAGGTGAGAGTAATCGCAAGAAGAAGGATTTTTCTCGCGCCTTATCCTTGTTCTGGTGAAATGTACTTTGCATAGATTTTGCAGAAAAAATGGATGTTTGATTTCTTCTGGTACTGCAGGCTATCATATAGAGGTTGAATGAATTGGAGAAGTTGGAGTAAAGATTGATGATCCATGATGGCCAACCTTCATCCATATTCCAAAGTATGCACCTTTTTCATTTGCTCCCCTTTGATCTTTCTGAACATTTAGGATTATGCCTGCTTCTGTTTGAGACTTTGAATCTCTAGAATTTCTTTTGATTTTACGCGTAAAGAAGATGGATTGAGTGTTCATGTCATAGGCTTGAAAAAGACATTGTGATTGCTGGGCCGTTTCCTCCCCCTATTCATTATTCAGTTTGCTTCTGAACTTTATAGATAGAGAGTGCTTTCATGTGAGAGTGCTTTATATCCAGTGCCTTCAATGCACATGCTTTGGGAGCTTTAGCAGAGGTTGCTGGACCTGGTCTTGATGCCCCCATTGGTACCATCCTTCCTGCTTTACTCACTGCAATGGGCTATACTGATATGGTAGGAACCTAATTTTTATGCCATAATGCCATTTACTTGGTTTCGTCTTTCACATCATTTAAATTTGAGTCATTGCTTAAGTTGATTTGTGTTTTGTTTTCATTGCATAATTTGCATGTGTCATGCTTTCACCTTGAAAATATTGGAGGTTCAAAGTCTCGCCAAGAAAGCAGCAGAAACTGTTGTCACTGTAATTGACGAGGAAGGTATCATGTCTTTGCTGTCGGGGCTTCTCAAAGGAGTTGGAGATATTCAGGCATGGTTTATTGTTTTGAATAATGATAATGTGACTTTCTTTTCTTTGTTTTGCATTTTTTAGCTAACACTATTTAAGTTTTATTCTTCCAGGCTTCTGTCAGTCAACGTTCTGCATACTTTATTGGATATTTATTCAAAACCAGTGATCTATATCTTGTTGTTGAGGCTCCAAATGTGATATCCACCCTGATTATTTTACTATACTATAAGTGATTCAGATTCAGCTACCATGATGGTTATTTTGATTCATTGCATGACATTTATACAATGCACTTCAATGTACTAGTTTATCTTACGATGCTCTTTTACAGGTTGCTTGGGAAGCATTGTCTAGTGTGATAAGTTCAGTTCCTGAAGAAGTTCTTCCTTCATATATAAAGTTGGTTCGTGATGTATTGAACCATGCAGGGAAGACCAGTTCTAATACCTGGTTTTTGCCTCTGGAAAGCTCTTCAACCTGTGCTTCCTATTTTCCTCTAGGTATTCCTGCTTATCTTTTGTTTGTGAACTTAATGTTTACATTTAAAGAATCTCTTTATATTTGTATACCAAAATTTCTAATATTTAATAATTATCGCAGAGAAATCCTTCCAAGAATTATTATATATAAGAAACTAAGTATAATATATTAATCATACATAAAGATTGTTTTTATTAATGCTGTTGTCGTTTTTGGAATCTGTTTCACATTATTACACATTGGCCACAAGTATTAAGAATGCAACATTGTTGAGCTTTGATTACATGGTTATGTGAATTTCCTTTATTATCTGTAGGGTCTTATAAGTGGATCTGCTGAATTAAGAAAGCAAGCAGCTTTGGGCCTTGGGGAGTTAATTGAAGTGACAAGTGAGCAATCATTAAAGGAGTTTGTCATTCCAATCACAGGGTATGATCTGTTACTATTGTTCTACACATTGCTAGTTTTGACTATTAGACTATTAAAAGGATTGCAACCAACAAAATAAGCTATACATAGTCATTACGTTGCCTATTTATGGTATGCAGTGAACTATTCCCTTTATTAGTGTGTCAACTATCAAACAGTCCTCTACTTGTCTGAACCTTTGGTCACCAGTGTAACCCCATTCTAGATTGCTTGTTCATGAATTGTTATTTGGTGTACGCCGTTGATTCGTATAAATAGGGGACAGATTCCCATGGCAAGTTAAAAGTTCAATTCTCTCAACTTTGAGCCTCATAATATGGATGGTTGGGTTGGCCCTAAAGCCTTTTCTTCCCCAACTTCAAACAACATTTGTCAAGTGTTTGCAGGATATTGCATGGGTAGCTTTTAATACTTATGGTTTTTCAGTTCTTTTTGAGACTCGTTTATTCTGTTATGTTCGGTTCTTTTTGAGACTCGTTTATTCTGTTATGTTCGGTACTATGATGTATGTATATTCCTAGCTAATGTTATGTAAATTGTTTGCAGGACTGTTCGATCAAGTGATGCTATTGCCCTTGGTTAACTAAGTGCACTCACAATTAGGATTGATCCTTTGGTTGGTGATCTTTTATTTGCTTTACAGGTGACATACTTCATCTTATGGTTGTTTTTTTCTTCTCTTTTCTTTGGTTTTAACCTTCAAAATCCAATATTGTGGTGATATGGGCAGTGTGCTTCAGATGTTGGAATTCATGAGGCTATTTT